AATGTAAGTTTAGCCTGGGAAACTCAACAAAGACCCCATATGCTACAGTTTAATCCTTGTACCTGGAAAACAGAGACAAACAAAAGAGGCCAAGTGTGGCACATATCTTTAACCTGACCAGAGGCAGAGGTAACCCAGAGTTACAGGCCAGTCTGGTCTATAGGGGGAGACCATCTCAAAACAATGACAAAGCAGGAGAGCTGGTAAGATGGCTCAGCAGGTAAAAGTGCTTGCCGAACCTGACAACCTGAGCTTGATCCCTGGGACCCAAATGGTAGAACTTACTCCTGAGCTTTCCTCTGACCTTGGCATGCATCCACAACACATAAAGTATGATGCCAATGCTTAAAAACAACAGGTTAGAGTGCAGATGAAGCTTAGTGGCAGAGCACTTGAGTAGCATGCTAAACACACTGGGGTCAGTTCCTAGTACCACTATCACCAGTGAAATCTTCCACACTGAGCCAGGAATGGGGGCACATAGAGCACTGTATCTGAAGATCACAAATTATATTTCAGTGAGTTGAAATACTGCTTTTTAAAAAAAAAAAAATACAGTATCACCCTGGCTGTCCTGGAACTCTCTATACCAGGCTGGCCTCAAGCTGAAGAGATTCACCTGCCTCTCTATCTCCTAAGTGCTAGGATTAAAGTTATGCACCACCACCAAATTATAAGCCAGTAAACCAAATTATCTTTATGAAAAAAATTTACTGAAAAAGCTGAGCAGGGGGCTGAAAATGGGTCAGTGTTTAATAGCACTTGCCTTTAATCCCAGTACCTGGGAGGCAGAGGCAGGTGGAGCTCTATGAGTTCAAGGCCAGCCAAGGCAACATAGAAAAAAAGCACTTTCTGTTTTTTTCAGAGGACCTAGGTTCAATTCCCAGCACATACATTGTGATTCACCAACAGTCTGTAACTCTTGTTCCAGAGGATCTGATGCCCTCTTCTGAATTCTTCAGGCACCAGGGAAGCACAAACACACATGCAGGCAAAGTATTAATAAATATAAAAGTAAATAAATCTGAAAAATAAAATGAGCAGACACTCTGTACTAAAATTATTTTTATTACAGTTGATCTTTTAAACATTTCCTTTGCTATGGTACAAAGGATACTTACAAACAAAATATTACATATGACCTGTTTTCGTTCTTAAGGTTCTGACAACTTGGTAACAGCTTTAAATGCACAATCTATACAATTAATACAGGTTATATACGAACTATAAGGTATGCTGAACCAGAAGAATACTGACAATATACTGTACAATAAGCCTTACCAGTTAGTGCTGTGGACCATTTCTACCAAAAGGAAAATGCACATCTGCACAGTCACCTTTACCAGCTGATGCTGACTGACAGTGAGGGAGAGGCTTCTTCCTCATTGCAACCTTTGGTAAGCCTCCACTGTGGGCATCTGTTTAGTCTAAAATTGAAAGGACCAGGTTTACTCAAAATTATCCATTGTTAAAAGTATTAGGATACTATATGTTCAATATGATAATCTCTTGCCCTTTCCCCCCAAACTGTCCCAGTTTTAAAAGACCATTTAAGTCCTTTGTCCACTCTGAAAACCCTACAGGCTCAAGGGCTTTAGGAAAAGACGAAGGCTGCCAAAAAAGGAGGCAAGAAACCAAGCCAAAATCTAGGTCTTGCAAAATCATTTTTCCCTTCACCAAAGGGAACTAGAAATGTACAAATTCATTGACGAACCTCAATGATAACATATCAGTTAGCTGATAACCCTCATTTATCTGGACCTGACTTGTGGGAATAACTGAAATAGACTGTGGATAACATATGCCACGTTTTGTACAGAACATCTTGCGTAGTTGAAATATTCCCTTTAGCCACCAAAGCTGGTCCTGGGCTGACAGGTGTGCATCTCTCTCAATGGTCTGCTCAGAAATGATAAGGTTACAGCTTTTTTTTTTTTTTCTTTAAATTTTAAATAAAAAAGCAATTGACTGAAGCATTGTCTCTCTCTTTTTAGGTAAATAGCAAAAATAAAAATAAAAACCAACCCTGGCATTTGCACAAATAAAGCAAATGGAATGCCATGGCTTTTAAGAGGTTAGTAGAAAGACTGAAGTAAAGAAATCTAGAGAAAAATCATGTATCAATTTCCTTCTTTTAAAAAACTTCTACATGTGCAAAAAAAAAAAAAACCCAAAACAAACAAAACAAAAAAACCCCAACAACAAGAACAACATGCTGTTTGAGGAAAACAAAAAGAAATGAGTACATAAAACTAAAAATATAAATAACGTTTGAATGGTTCAGTAAAAGCAAAAACCAGCCTGGGTTACAGAAGGGTTATACATTCAAGATGCTTTTAAACCCAGTGGGATAACTTATGTTAAAATTGTGTTAATAGTTAACTTTAAAAATCTCAAGTTTGTTCTTAAATCTTCACAATACAAGCAAAGCTGTTTAAAATATACACTATACATATTTCTCATAGCTCTCCAACCTCATTACTGCGCAATAGGCTTTCTCATGTACTAAAAGGAGGGGTTCTCAAAGCTAACTTGCTCATAATAACCTGCATTATTTAAGTGTTTTATATGGGTTAAAAACCTTTTCAGACTTACATAAATAGTATTTAGCAACAGAAGTGTTAATTTAAAAACTCTAAAGCATTTACAAATAGTCAGGTTGGAACAGCCTAGGGAGTTATGTGCACTGTACTTTAAAATGGTATTTACATCAGACCATTATTTTTGTAAAAATTTCCCTAAAAAAATTAAAAAAAAATTAACCTGTTCTAAACTAGCAGAGAAGGATCTTAAAGAGTAAACCAAGAACAAAATTATTTCCTGATGAAAACCCCACACATCCCTCCTCACTTGGGCTTTACTTACGAAACCACTGTGACTCCTAATAGGCTCTTCTATCAAGTGTCAAGATAGTGTGGTAAACAGTTTGTTAGATTAATTACTGGCCAAGTGAACTTGAAAAAAAATGTTTTTCCATCTTATCTCTGGCTTGGATTACATGGGTATTTAACTGGAGGGGCAATCTAAATAGGCACAATTCCCATTAATGTGGAATAAAAGACAAAAAAATAGGAAGAAAGGGTGATGGTTTGAGAGTATGAAGTGCAAGGAAGGACAACAGCACATGTGGAATGAATGGGCAGCAAAAGACAGTAGCATGGCAATACCCCAGGGGGAGCCAATGCCTTCCTTGATAAACCGATATACCTGTTTGACCCCAAGTCGGGCTACAAGGGTTCCAATACCTACACTGTTATTTGAGATAGAGACCAACCAAAACTGTAAATATTGGGCAGCTGCATCTTTTCAAAATTTTATAATTCGCTCAATGACCATGTACAATTTATATTAACAATAATGTTCATGCCGAGGCAATGTATTTAAGGGCTAAGAAAAAGCAAAATGTGCCACTGAGAGAAACCTGTTTCCATATAACTGGTCTTCATGCTTTCAAGTGGCTCTAATATACCTTGGATACTAAGCCAAGCCATGCAAAAGCAAAGAGTACATACTTTTCATTAACATTGGTATCTCATTTCTAAACCACTGACTTCAAAGTTGCCATAGAAACATATAACACAATACTGAAAGCATACAATTGAGGGTTCATGGATTTTTAAGAAATGCATTCCCCTCATCTATGTTCAACAGTCTTTTAAATCTTAGCTACAAGGCATATCAGAGGAAGGGAGGTCAAGTGGGGGTAATGTCTAAGGAACGTACGGAATTCTGGAAGTAGGAGATGCTCCAGAAGTGGGATCAATGTGCCAGCAATAAGCATAGTTCATCTCATTTGAAAATTCAGTTAAAAGAGCCCATAAACAGTCCCAAACCATAAAGTTATCACCTGCATAATTTACATAAACATTAACACACTTGCACTTTATAGACAACACTCTGTAAACATGGCCACTGGGGGAGGGAGACTCCCTACACCTCACTCATGACTGACAACATGTAATCATATTAAATAAAATTACTTAGTTTCAAAAGATTTCAAACCTGACCAATGATTAATCTCCATGTCCCCATTTAACAACACTTAAGCATTAACTCTACAATGTCACCTAGGATGGTCTCAGGGTTATATGCTAGAAGCACAACTAGCAATGACAGCAACTCCTCTCTAGCTGGCACAGACCTATAAACTTTAGTACAAAACCAAAAAAGTACAGAAACTAGGTCAATTTGTTAGCTACATATTTACAGATAATTACATGATTTTTCACTCATAATTGTTAAACTACAAGTGAAAAGGAAACTGTGCAGGTTGAATTACCCGTACTTTGGGGGGCGGGGATTCTTGAGCATCAAGACACCCTTTTTCATTCATTGAGAAGTCTTACCTTCTCTTCTCTACTTCCAACTACCTACAGATGTTAATATTATTATATCCAGTGGGCATCCTGCTGGAGAGGATTAACTTTTCCTCTATTTAAAAAAGAACCCCTTATATATTTAAAAGCAAAGCAAAACAAAACCCCCAATACACATACACACACACACACACACAGCCACACTTCAGTTTGGATTGCTGGAAACAGTTAACAGATGTGGTGACATAGTACATGGCTCCCCAGGTTTTGTTTGTTTGTTTGTTTGTTTTTGTTTTGTTTTATCGACAGGGTTTCTCTGTATAGCCCTGGCTGTCCTGGAACTCACTGTGTAGACCAGGCTGGCCTCGAACTCAGAAATCCGCCTGCCTCTGCCTCCCAAATGCTGGGATTAAAGGCGTGCGCCTCCACTGCCTGGCTAGGTTCCCCAGTTTTTGCTCTCTGCTTCTATTCCTTAAGATACTTATTTTTTGCATGGATGGGCAGTGCAAGTTTCAGAAGCCTGCAGTAGGCAGATATGATTCATATTTCTTATACTTATGATCTGAAGGCCAGCACATGTTTGGAAATCTGAATATAATCAAAGAGGAAAAAAAATGTCAATACAACTTTAAAAGTGGGCTATCAGAATTCAGTAGGAAATATAAATGCACGAGAGTTCTCAGCTTCACTTTTTCTACAGTGTTTAATAAAAATTTCTTTACAAATTAATAGTTATTTCCAACGTAGATCTACTGTAGTGATTTCATAAAAGTGCAGACAACATAACCAGACACAGCAAAACAGACTTCAATCAGTAGTCCTTGCATACAAGAGGCACATATGCTGAGTGTACAACACACTCTTCATCCTTTAAGGAATCCGAGGGTGGGAAATTTCCAGTTCTTAACAACTCAGGGTGAGTGTCTTTTTAAAAAGGCAATGCTAAAACCATGGAAGGGAGACTTCTGTTATTAGGGACAAAATAAAAACAGAATTTGTTTATATTCAATAATGATCTGTATTTTGATAAGCAGCTCAAAGATGACAGCCCAATGCTCCTTGAGAAAAGACTCTAAGAAGTGAGAATTTCTTTCATCATTATAGCAGATTCATACTTAGTATACCTTAAATATATTATTTTCTGACTTTAATACACATTAGGACACTTCACATTCTGAACATGAGACAAATGCAGAACTATAAAACCTCCAAAAGAATGGATTGCTGTGGCTATAGGGATGGTGGTTTATGCCTGTAATCCCAGTACTTGAGAGGCTTACAGAAAGATTGCTAGGAATTTGAGGCTAGCCACGGCTACACATCAATCATCCAATCAGAAAGGGTACATATCTCAAAAGAAAAACAAAAGAAAGAAAGGTGTGTTGTGTTAGACCAAATCTCTGCCTGAATAGTAGCGGCTCAGAAGTGGTAGAAGGTGCATAAAGAATTTACTATTAGCAACAAGAAGGTAAGTTAAAAGGAGACAGCCCTTCAAACCAGCATGCTTTCTTTCTCAGTGATCACTGCAGAGTTCATTTTTCTCTGCAGCTTGTATCTTTTATTGCATTGTAAAACAAACTTAAGGAAACAATAACTGGTTCCTTCCCTAGCACAATTTTACTGCATTGTAAATTATAGTATCATATTTTACTTAACTTTTTCCTGACCCATACAAGTGCTAAGGGGGAAAAAAAAGACTGCATCTACTCATCACCTTCTCATAAGCATCAACCCAGAGTACTCACTCTTTAAAACCACACACAGTCTTCTTGTAACATGGGGCGGGGCGTGGGAACAATAAAACTTGAGCCCTGGCAGACATGTTTAGAATGAGTTATATCAATCCATCTATACACACATATAGACACTCATATGTATATACAATATATACATACAAATGAAAATAGCTATACTCCAAATGTGCACATGTAACAGTTTTAAAACGCCAGTAGATCATGGTATAATACAATTTATTTCCACTTGTAAATGGCACAAATGGAGAAATGCAAAGGTGTTCAAGTACAATGAAGTCATTTTTACAGGTGAAAATAAATCATATTATTCCAGTGTCCAAAACAATGTATTCTGTTTAAAATGCTAAACATTTACAAAAGCACAAAATTACTAAATTCTGCCTTATGATCTAAAAAAGTTTTCAATTTTTGAAAAGGATGTACAGAAAAATTACTAGTAGCAAGATGGGATCTCCAGGACAGTTTCTTTAGTGTTATGTTTACTTGATGTCCAGGCAGCCAAAAAATCATAATGACTATGTACAAAGCTCCATTTACTAGCAAGGCCTTGACTTCAGGCTGTGTTTCACCTGTGGGTGTGACCTCAAATGCAGGACTACTCATCTCTAGATACAGAAATGTGCGGAAGAGAGCAGGAGCTCTTTTAAAATAAACATGCTTTCAGCTAACATTGTTTATACAGTGCAAACACTTTCTGATGTCAACATTTAGGGTTAGAACTAAGTTTATAAGAAAAGTTATGTGCAAAGGGCAGGGACTCTAATTATGAATAAAATGTCTTAACATATGAGGTTTTGCATTTTTAAAATGCTGACCACCCCCCAAAAAAAGGGAGAACAAGAAACGTTTCCCTGTCAGGTTCTGGATACCAGATATAGATCCACAACTTCTGGTGTGCTACACAAGTTCTCCATGCTTTCACTTTCTTAAACACATGTACATATCATAAGTGAATACCAATAACTGGGGAGGAGGAGGTAGTGTTAATTTGGTCAAATGTTGACATTTTTGCTTTTTTTTTTCCCCATAAAGTACCTGCCCTAATTTTAGGGCATTTCAAATGCTTTCAAATTTTCCTGCTACCAATTTTTACTGTGACAATTCCTGCTGTACACATGATTCTTCTCAAGTTACTATAGGTTATAAACACAAACCTAGTCATTTTAACCATTGTGCAAACTACATGCATTTTAACTAAATTGATGGTATAATCCAGATATAATGACCTACATGGAAAAACTGGGTGCCATTCGATTAGATGAGGCAGAAATCCTTATTGGACAGGACAGATAGTATTCAATCACACTAGTAAGAGTGCATTATGATCAAAATGGACTCCGTAACTAAATTTGACCAAGTGACGCTCACACTGGGTGATAAAATGTGTTTCTGGTAGTAGTTTGGATTTTTTAGAAATGTCTTGCACATACCTTATCTGCTTTCTCAATCTAACCCCTCTGGTAGCAGACAGTTGCCAGGATAGTTTTTGAAGATGGTTTTCTTTTATAGTTTTGAATAGCCTATTAAACTGTAAAGCTTTCCCTTATTTCCTCCAAACATATAGAATTTTCAATTTGTTTGAAAATCTTTAATAGTATTTTGAATAAAAAAAATACTAAAAGAAAAGCCCTTTTCATTAGCCATAGCAAATATATGTCTATCTAAAAACTGATAGGGAATATGTTTAAAACTGTGCCTAGAAGTATGTGTGAATACTATTAACCTTCTATTGGATTTTCAAAGGTCCTATACAATAGCATCTACCTTTCTTTTGTTCTTCCTTTTTTGAGACACCCGAAGGCAGCCTTGAACCTGAGATTCCTACCCCCCTGCTTCCTAAATGCTGGGATTATAGGCATTTGCTACCACACCCTGATCTAATTTTTCTTTTTAATTAGTGTCATAAATCCTCAAACCAATGTCAGAAACTTCTGAAGGAGGTAAGTCATGGAGACTGGACTGACATACCTGGACAAGACAAAATGTGGTTAAGAAAACTAAGAACATCCATAGTAGCAGATGACAATTTGGTCACTAGTTTGTTCTAATTATGATTTTTTGGTTTTTTTTGTTTTGTTTTGTTTTTCTGAGACAGGGTTTCTCTGTGTAGCCCTGGCTGTCCTGGAACTCACTCTGTAGACCAGGCTGGCCTCGAACTCTCAAACTCAGAAATCTGCCTGCCTCTGCCTCCCAAGTGCTGGGATTAAAGGCGTGTGCCACCACCGCCCGGCTATGTTCTAATTATGATTAAGAGAATGCTTCCCATCTACCTAAATGAAAAGCAGGATCCAGAGTTAGTAGCAAGAGCTCTTCAAGACAAATGAAAAGGGACAATAACTTATAAAAAACCTCTGGTCTCTCACTAAAAGAGAGCATTGGCCCTAGTTTACCACCAACTCAAGCTCCACACAAGCAATGGGATATTAACTAACATTGATGAAGAACACTGGATTGCCCCTTCATTGAAGAACAGACGAAACACACTCCACAAATGTAGGTGGTCCCTGACCACTACATAGTATTTTCAACTTTTGTTTTCTTTCACTCACCAAACTACCTAGTTTCTTTCTCAGTAGTATTTTAGCACTAAAGCTAGAGACTTCTCAAAGGGAACTTGCTATTATGGGATATTAACGTGGACCCAGATGGTCACTAAGTCTCAACGAATTAAGAATTTGTAAGGTACTACAGCAACAAAAACAGCAATTAAGCACAGAGTACCTGAAAATGAAGCAACAACTACAGTGGGAAGATTAGTCAGCAGCTGGGAGTCATTGGCTCAGTGACTCCTGGTGGCAACTAAGTATTTAAATACTTGACTATTGCTACTTGTAAACAGGAAATTCCATAAGCAAAAAAGGGGATAATAAAATTATATCTATGTAGTGTGAATGAATATTCTAATGGATGGCAGTTCACAAATATGGCATAATTCAATACCTCTGGCATTTGCTTTGTGTTGGCTATATGTCTTCATTTTTTTACAAAGCAAAGGTACTGTCTGGGGTCTTATGATTTGGATCAGACGAGATATTGTACAAGAAACAAAATGTCAGGTTATATAGACGTTACCTCCTTCTCCCTGCTGAACATTCCTATCACAGAAACTTCTTAGGGGCCCCTCTGGTCCTCTAAATTCTCCCTCTGAAAGCTCACTGGCTTGTTAGTGCAATAGCCACACAGCTTATGATCTCCTTAAGCAACTCCATCTTATCATGATACAACCTACAAAATCTGACAAATTTCTGAGTTTGTAGCAAAGAACTACATGATTTTCTGCCACTGAAAGGGTAAATACAATCTTTTAATGTTCATGGTCTTCTGATTTTTAGTCCAAATGAGGTTGAAAAATCAGATCAATTCATAAATAAAGCAAACACACTGGTGAGGAGTGGAGGTATATTTCAGTAAGAATGTGTTTCAGCATGGATGCTGCCTGCTGTCAGTGACTCACAGAATTTGGAATATGAAGGAAGGCTTTACATCTTCCAACAAATTTCTTAGGCTATGGATACCCTAAAGTGATGATTCAGATTAGTTTGCTTCATTTTATTTTTATATTGTTCAGATAATACCCCTTCTATTAAGCCAATTTTTGCCACATACATGAAATATTTATGTATTTCCACTTTAAAATTTTTCCAAAAGTTAAAAACAAAAAGCCAACCACAAAAACCCCGGCAGCCAAATACTATGACATCCCAATTAGTAAACACAAAACATAACGCTTTACAAAGACAAATAAAATATACCATATGCACAGCTTCCACATGGTAGTACCCAAGTGAGGAGGCTGCTGTGATGATGTCTGTAGGCAGTTTCTTTTGGCAGACAGCTCCAGCGGAATTGCCACTTTCAATTATTATGTGTAAGACATGTGTGACCCATTGGATATTTGTGAAGTGACACTCGTGCTTCTGCTCATGCCCTGTTCCGTCCGTCCCCCAGAAGCTGTCCGCCTCAGAGCCTGGGGGCTATTGCGGACTCCCATACTGCTACCTCGAGGTACCCCTTGCATTGGCCCTGAGGGATGACCCCATGGTTGGGGTCCACCTTGCATCGGATGACCCCAAGCTTGTGGTGTGCCACCCATGGGATGACCCCAGTGAGGTCCTGGCCCCCCAGTAGGATTGTGAGACCAACTAGAAGCTCCTGGGTAGCTGTGGCTGAATGCCTCAGGGGAGAGATTAGAAAGGACCATGTTACTAAAACCTAATCTCATGCTTTCAGAGTCAAAAGCTTCAATTTCTCTGGCTTGACGCTCAAGCAGGCTACGTATTCGTTCTGTGCGTTCATTCTGCAAAGCCAACATCTCTTCTTCAATCTGTCAAGACAGGAAAAGGGAGCAAAAATATCATTTTATGTTTCAACTAAAGAAGCAATAACTACTCAAGATAATCAACAGCTGTTTTATGGATACTTTAATTATTATTACTTTTTTTTGCGGGGGGGGGGGGGGGGTTAAGACAAGTCTTTTGTAGCCCTGTCTGGCCTGGAACTAGCTGAATAAACAGGCTGGCTTTGAACTCACAGAGATCTGCCTGCCTCTGCCTGTTTAGTGCTGAGATTAAAGCTGTGTACCACCATTGGTGGGCGGGCTCCTTCTCTTCTTTAATCTATACAGATACCCTGTCTCTCTCTGTCTCTCTCTCTATCTCAGAAAGAAAGAAAGAGAGAGAGAGAGAGAGAGAGAGAGAGAGAGAGAGAGAGAAAGGAGAGGAAGAAAGGAGAGAGAAAGGAAAGAGAGAGGAAGGAAGGAAGGAAGGAAGGAAGGAAGGAAGGAAGGAAGGAAGGAAGGAAGGAAGGGGAAATGGAGGTAGCATTCCTCCTCTCATAATTCAATAGTCTTCAATAGTTAAAAAGTTCATTACTGAGCACAGTGGTATATAAATTTAATCCCAGGATCCATGAAACAGAGGCAGGGGGATCTCAGTGAATTTGAGGCCAGCTTGGTCTAGACAGAGAGTTCTAGGACAGCTAGAGCTATATAATGAGATGCTGTCTTCAAAACAAAACAAAAAATAAATAAAGATTAAAGTTCATTATTGAATACTTGAAAACAACATTGTTATGAAAGAAATCTAATACAAGCCCTGCTGATATCAGTAGAGTTCCTGTCTTCAAGGGTGAGGTCTTAGGGTCAATCCTCAGGCCAAAAAATAAAAGCTGTGAACCTGGGTTCACATGCACATGTGTATACACACACACACACGCACACACACACACACACACACACACACACACACACACACGTGCGTGCGCACCATAAATATACAATAAAAGAAAATACGCCCCTACCAAATCCCAAACTTATGGTCACATACATATATTTAATTCTTTTGATTAAAAAAAAAACCCAGAACAATTCTCTTGCTTCTATTATCTATACCTTTTGTTCTAAGAGTGCCCTGCGAAGGGAGACCCTCTGTTCCAGCTCTCGAAGCTCTCGATCATGTTGGGCCTCAGCCTGCATCTTGATCTTGCTCTGATATGCATTCAACAGCTCCAGTTCCTGCTGCAGCTGCATCTTCAAAACCTGGCATTCTGCTTCTTGTGCTTCATCCAAACGCAGCTGAGAGAAAGAAGAAAAACTGATTCATTCTACTGTCAACTATCCATTCATGACTTACAGAAAAGAAGAATGAGAGAAGACAGACTACATTTTTGTACGCTATATAACTTCTTTCTTGTAGCCTGCCATGAACATCCCTAAAAAAGAAAAATAATAACTAATATTATATGACAAAAGATCCTGTCATAAGCTGTTCTGAAAATGCCTGGATAACTATGCTAAACCTAGAATATTATTGGGTAACAAAGTGTTCAATCTCTCCATCTCTAGTGGAAATAATTACAGGACAGAGTCAACAAGCACAGCACACAAGCTGCTTGTTTATCTTTGTTCAGTCCAGTATCTAACAATGGGTTTTACATTTTGATGTGGTTACATTTGTAATAGTTAGAAGTACCTATACAATATCCTGCATTTTACCTCCTCATCTGCAAAGTCTAAAATATTTACTATTCCTCCTTTTAAGAAAATACTTGCACAGTATTTCATCTGTGCCCTCCAGGGTGACTGCTTAGATTCCTATTCAGAGAAATACACTTTGCTTACAGTTTACTCATCTGATGTCCCCCATACCCCTGATTTTTTGAGACAAGGTTTCTTTCTCTGTATAGCCTTGGTTGTCCTGAAAGTCACTCTATAGCCCAGACTAGCCTCAAAATGAGAGATATTCTTGCCTTTGCCTCTCCAGTGCTGAGATTAAAGGCATGTGCCACCATATCCCTGCTTACTCATTTGATGTTGATAAGCTGTTGGAATTCACACCTGTGGGGAGCCATTATAGGATCATGTGTCTAAATGTAACAGTGAAATTCTAGGTACACCATGCATTCCCCAAACAATACTAAGAATAGGAAGAATATGGGTGACTACTACTTTTTCCTGGGCTATTAAGAGCTACCATTCCCAATTTATCTTTCAATTGCTAGGATTTCATTTGGGTTGTAGTAAGAAAGAGGTACTAAATTTGTGTTGCCTAAACAAAGCAAACTCACAGCTTGTGTGGAGAGCATTTCATTAATGCTATGATCATACTGCTCAGCCAAGATGGCTAACTTCCGAGTCTGCTCCTCCTTGAGTCTTTTCAGAACAGCTTTGTGCTCACTCTTTGGTGTAGTTTCCAATAGGTGATTCCTTAATGCTTTGTACTGTCTGGTTTGAATTTTGCAGGTATCCTGAAACTGCTTTTTTATTTGGAGTTCTTTAGACTGGAAAGAAAAAAGAAGAGAGAGCGGTGAGTCTATGGCTCAAAGCATTTGGCATAGTGTATACTAACACCTATATATAAATAAAGCCAGAAATAAAACAGAGAAGAAGACCACAAAGTTATACAATAAAATTGCAGGTATTTTTTGCATCTGGCAAATATTCATGAAGTAAATCTAAATTTCATGGTAGTTATAAACACTGACAAGCTAAAGTTTCTAAAACAGGTTTCTTTGGTCATTTAGAACACTTCACTCCAATTTCTTTTCTTTTCATGATAATCTCAACTCTAACCACAATCTATAATAGATCCTACTTTCTGTGGCATCTATGTAAAAAACTTTAGATTAACTTTGAGGTGTGCAATAGTAAATAATTATTACAACTGTCTTTTCTTTAAGAAAAGTAAGTTAGATAGAATCATACTCAGCAATGGTTCATTCCCTCTGTTCTACAATACTAAGTCTGAACCTGGGGCATCATGACAACACTCTACTATTAATTTACATTCCCAACCCTTTAAAAAAATATTTTATTCTGAAACAAGGTTTTGAGTTTACCAAGTTGTCCTTGAATTCCATTGTGCTTCAGCCTACTCGGTGCTGGAATTACAGGATGCATGTGGCATCTACAGCAATAGTTTATTTTATTGTTTAACATATGAAGAAAATCTTAAAGTCAGTTAACTATTCTTTCAATGGTCTAATAAAAGCTAAGGTGCAAAGCAGGGACAAACTCCTTGGAATAAGACAAACTCAACAAATATTTCTGAGATAGAAATATTTAAGACTTTGCCTTTAAAAAGGTTTCTATTCATTTTTTATTAAGCTGGATGTGAAAAGTGCACACTTTTAACCCCAGCAATCAGGAGGCAGAGGAAGGAGGATCTCTGACTTCAAGACTGCAGAGCAAGTTCCAGGTAGCCAGGAAACCATGTCTTGAAAAACAAACAAACAAACAAACAAACAAACAAACATTGAAGGAGATATATTTCTATAAGTTATATTAGTTCAGCATAAATGTAAGAATATATTCACTCACTATACTGAGACAGAACCTACATTAAAAAATTTTTTATTGCCGTGCAGTGGTGGCGCAAGCCTTTAATCCCAGCACTTGGGAGGCAGAGGCAGGTGGATTTCTGAGTTCGAGGCCAGCCTGGTCTACAGAGTGAGTTCCAGGACAACCAGAACTACACAGAGAAACCCTGTCTCGAAAAACCAAAAAATAAATAAATAAATAAATAAATAAATAAATAATAACAATAAATAAATAAAAGAATTTCTGCAGTTAAATTCTATGGTTATTCTTTTTCTACTATACAAAGTATACAAGCAAATGATGAAGCAACAGGGCAACAGGTAGTCCACACAGGAACCCAAGTAAGCATGCTAAAAATTAAAGGATTAAGTCAACTCAACCTCTCAATGACTAAAAACATGCCTCTGTCAAGAAGCTTACACTAACGGTACCTTCAAACTCTTAGGCTGTTGCCGAACTTCCATGACATGTTTCCGCCTCAGTTCTCGCTCCCTTCTCTTATTGTACTCCAGCTGGTTAGTGAGCTCAGTCTGATGCTGCAATCTGATCAACTCACAGCGCATCTTCTGAATAGTGTTGAGGTGGCGAAACTCCAGTTCTTGCATGGACTCATGTTGTCTCAATAGCATCGCATGCTCCAAGTCCTTCTGAGTTTGCCTTTTGTTTAACTCCTAAGATATGATTCAAAAGACAAAGGTATAATTTATTGCTTTACAAACCAAGGGGGAAAACATTAAAAAACAAAACAAAACAAAAACACTAAAATGTGGACGTGAAGCCAGTGTTTCAATGGCTACATAGTAAATACTAAGTTCCCATGATTTTTGTGTCTGTTTGTGAATACAAGCATTATGTAAACAAACTCTCCCTTCCACTACTTCTATTCCATAAATTCAGTAAGAGATAAGTTCTTCATCAAAAACTTCTTAGAGTAATATATAGCACAAGATAGTGTCTAAGAAATGTTATTCTTGCTGGCCATGGTAGCTCATACCTGTAATAACAGAATTAGGGAGGCAGAAGTAGTTTGAGGTCAAGTCTAGCATTGTCTACATATCAAGTTCTAGGTCGGGGCTATATTGTGAGAAAGCTATCTCAAAATTAAAATATAATAAAATAAAAAATATTGAAAATTATCCTCTTAAAATATTTTTGTCCAAATCAGGCCATGGTGGTGCATGCCTTTAATCCCAGCACTCAGAAGCAGAAGCAGATGGATGGATTTCTGAGTTTGAGCCAGCCTGGTCTACAGAGCAAGTTCCAGAATAGCCAGAGCTACACAGAAAACTCTGTCTCAAAATAAAATAATAATAATAATTTTGACTAGATAAAAAAGGGGAGCTGGAGAGACAATTCAGTGATTAAAAGCACTTGTTGCTCATGCATAGGACGTGGATTCAGTTGTCAGCACCTGCATAGTGGCATACAGCCTCTTCCACTTCTAGGGCATCTGGCATCCTCTTCTTTCCTCCAGTCACTGCAGGCATACGGCATACATACACACACACTAAGAATACACATACACCCATCAATGGCACCCTTGGCCCTGCAAACCCTCTCCCTAGTCAACAGTCTTTTGCAGATGTTTCTCACTTTATCTTATTATGATATATCTATTTAACAAAATCTCTCATCTCTCCCTCTCAAATACTGGGATTACAAGTGTGGGCCACACCACTGGCATGAGATATTTTACTTTTTTACCGAAAGCTACCACATTGTGACACAATTTTCAGCCATTTCTACAAGACTAGCCATTTAAGCTGGTTCTTTTTTGTATTCCTAGGATAGAACTCACAATGTACATATGCTAGGTAAAGATATATGTGTATATTTATTTTTTAATTTTGTATCCGTGTATGTAAGTATGTATGTATGTACACATACATGTCCTGAGATATGTCCCGAGAGGCTAGGTATAAGATCCACAGGAGCTGGAGTTACAAGCTGTTTTATGAGTTGCCTAATGTGAGTATTAGGAACTGAATTCAAGCCCTCTTAAGACAACTAACTAGCTCTCTTAACTCCTGGACCACCATTCTAGTTCCTCTGTGACTATTTTTAAAAGTTCAGCCAGGTAGTGGTATCACACGCCTTTGACCCCAGCACTTAGAAAGCAGAAGCAGGCAGATCTCTGAGTTTGAGGCCAGCCTGGTCTATAGAATGAGTTCCAAGATATCCAGGGTTACGCAGAGAAACCCTGTCTTGAAAAACAACAAAAAGCTATAATTCAATCATCTGCTCAAGAATGGAACTAACAATGTACATTAACAACTAAACTTATACCTAAGACTAGATGTTAACTTTCTTTCTCATCAATATAATTTTAAATTTAAGTCTAATCAGTATTATGTTTAATTTAAATTTCTTTTTTTGTTTTTGGGACAAGATCTCACTATGTAGTCCTAGTAGTCATGGAACTCAAAGACCTGCCTGCTTCTACTTCCTATGTGCTATGTCATACTGGCTAAGTTCAAATGTTCTTTTTTTGTTTTGTTTTGTGTTGTTTTGTTTTAAAGTTATCTTGAGTGACATGGATATATGTCAGTGTGTGGTATGGACACTTGGGTGCAGGTTCCTGAGTCCAGAGGCATCGAATCCCCTATGAGCTGGAGATACAGGCAGATATAAGGCTCCCCTACATCCCCCATGTGAGTGCTGAGCACTAAACTCGTTCCCTACAAGAGCAGTCTATACTTTTATGAGCTGAGCCATCTCTCCAAGTCCCTAAATTTCTTCAGTAAATATACAGCATTATTCTAAGTGCAACTTATTTTATTCTATTCTTTGAAATAAATTTATCTATGTTGACAGAGATTCTGATAAAGAAGATAATTTTTTTCTTAAGGCAAAACTAGGCACAAGCTTTTAATGCCAGTACTCAGTTAACAAAAAGACAAGTAGATCTCACCATCTTAAAGAAAAACTAGCTGGTAAGGCCAGCAAGATGTCTTTTTTTTTTTTTTTTTTTTTTTAAAGGGCGTTGGATCCCATTGCAGACAGTTGTGAGCCACCATGTGGTTTCTGGGAATCAAACTCAGGACCTCTGAGGAGAAGTCAGTGCTCTTCACCACTAAGCCATCTGTCCAGCCCAGCAAGATGTCTTAAAGAATAAAGGTGTCTACTTGTCAAGCCTGAGGTTTAGTCTCCAGGACCCACAAGGTAGAAGGATATAATTAACTCCTGTAAGCAGTCCTCTTATCTCTGTATGTGCATGTGTCTACCCAAAAATAAATACATAAAAGCATAAAAAAGATTTTTAACAACATTCACTCAAATAATAATCAATATGATTATTAAAAGTGTTAAATGGCTTGAGGGGCAAAGGCAGGTGGATCTCTTAGGCCAACCTGGATCTCAGAGCAAGTTCTAGAGCAGCCAGGCGTACACAAAGCAACCCTGTCTTGAAAAACAAAACAAAAAACAAAAAAACAAGATATGTTAAATGGTAATACATACCCCTCATGGTACCCATTCCAGATCAGAGAAATAAGAGTTGCCAATTTGTTTTCTCATATTAAAAAATAGGTATTTTTGTCATTCACATATTAGTGAGTTATTTACCAAATGCCTGCTACAGACTAGACAATGGACATATAAAGAATTGAACAGCCGGGCAGTGGTGGCGCACGCCTTTAATCCCAGCACTTGGGAGGCAGAGGCAGGTGGATTTCTGAGTTCGAGGCCAGCCTGGTCTACAGAGTAAGTTCCAGGACAGCCAGGGCTATACAGAGAAACCCTGTCTCAAAAAGCCAAAAAGAAAAAAAACTGAACAAAGTCTGTGACTTTACACAAAGCCAGTTCTAATGAGAGAGACAGACAACACTCCAAGGTGTTGGTGCATGTGTTTCTATGCATTTTCATCTTCATGTGTACATAAGAGGGAAAAAAGTAGAACACTTTAAAAGATGTATTTATTTTTATTTTATGTGTTTTGCCCACATGTATGCCTTAAGGTGCCAGATGCCCTGGAATTGGAGCTACAGACAGCTGTGAGCTGCCATTGAAGGAGTTGGGAATTGAACCTGGGTCCTCTGGAAGGCAATCCAGTGCTCTTAACTGTTGAACCATCTCTCCAGTTCCACCAGAGCACTTCTAGAACTAGCATAAGGAGGTTTCTCTCATGTGCTACCACAGGGAAAGAGAAGACTTGTTAACATGGGTACAATAGTAATTCAGATACAGAGAATACATGTACAAAGAGCAGAAATTTGGAAGTAACTGAAAATTTCAACTTCCTTTTTCTTTTGACTTTTCAAGACAAGGCTTCTCTATGTAGCCAATGCTGTCCTGGAACATGCTATGTAGAACAGACCAACCTCAAACTCAGAAATCCACTTGACTCTGCCTCCTGAGTGCTAGGGTTAAAGGTACGGCCCACTACACCCAGAAAGGTTTTCAATCTTCAAAAGAGATTCATCAATAAAGAATTTTATTATAAAAATCAGGAGATTGAGTTAAAGACCAGCTTGACTTAATAGGAAGTCTTAGGCCAGAAGGACCTTGAAGGGCCAGAGTAAGGCCTTGTTGAAAACAAAAAATGTTTTCATTTCCAGCACTGTAATATTTATTTATTTTGATTACATCATTTAAATGTACATACCTCCCTGACAAGGTCCTGTTCCAAGTTATGTCGCCCAAGTAACATTCTTCTTTTGAAGCGACGACATTCTAGCTCTAGATACTGCCTTTGACGTCGAAGAAGATTAGCTTCTTCTTCTGCCTGAAAATGCTGTATATTCTCCTTCTGCTTTGAAAGCCATTCCTGCTTTTCTTTTTTAGGTGTGCTCTGGTTTTCATTCAGCTCCTGGAAACAAAACCAACCAAAAAATTTCACTTACGTAAAAATTAACTATATGAACATATAATGTAACATAGTATATTTAACTAGTAATTTTTGAGTATTAATATAGCTATGTAACCCAAGCTGGTCTTGAATTTAAAATCCTCCTGCTTTAGCCTCCTTGGTGGTAGAATTATTTATGTGTGAATCCCCATAACTGGCTATGGTAAATTTATTTATTTACTGTTTGCAGAGAAAGGAACATAATGTGAGGCCTTGGTCATGCTTGAAGCTACATTCCCCCATCCATTACATGGTAAACTTAGAGCACTTAATTGTGTTTTCTTTCTAGTAATAGCTCAGTAGACCTAGAAAAGGTAAGTAATATATTCCCTATGTATATCACAATACATAAATAGCTTCAGTTTTGCAGCTTAATTTTCATGGTTCCTGGCTTTAAACCACAGAATGTCTGGTAAATAAATTAAAAAACCTTTAAAAAGGTTTCCAAAACCACCTGTGGTGGTATATGCCTTTACTTCCAAACCTTGGAAAGCAGAGGCTGACAGATCTCTGTGAGTTTGAGGCCAGTTTGGTCTACAAAGTAAGTTCAGGACTGCCAGGGCTCTGACAGAAATATCCTGTCTTGAAAAGACAAACAAAAACCAAAAAAAAAAAGAGAAAAGAAAAGAAAATAAAAAAAACAAAAAGATCACAATGACAACAAAAACTTTTCAAAGAGACAGGAGTGCTGTTAAGTTAAAAAAAAATGTATTTTTAATTGGAATTATAGTAAGATATAGTTAACCATTTAATCCTTTTGTTTTTCAAATTCTCAAATTTTCTTTTCTTTTTTTCTGTAGACAGGATTTCTCTATATAAAGCTGGCTGTTCTGGAACTCAATTTGTAGAACAGGTGGGCCTTGAACTCACAGAGATCCAACTGACTATGCCTTGAGTTCTGGAATTAAGGGTGCCACTGCCTAGCTCTCAAAATTTCTTTATTTTGTTTTTTAAAAAAGATTTATTTATTTGGTTTATGTATATGAGTACACTATCACTGTCTTCAAACACACTAGAAGAGACCATCCGGTCCCATTATAACAGATGGTTGTGAGCCACCATGTGGTTGCTGGGAATTGAACTCAGAACTGGCGGAAGAGTAGTCAGTGCTCTTAACCACTGAGCCATCTCTCCAGCCCAAATATTTGTATTAATTACTTTGAATATACTGGAGTTGTCTTCAGACACAACAGAAGAGGGCATCAGATATTATTAGATATGGTTGTGAGCCACCATATGGTTGCTGGGAACTGAACTCAGGACCTCTGGAAGAGCAGTCAGTGCTCTTAACCGCTGAGCCATCTCTACAGTCCTCAAAATTTCTTGAATGGAACTACCATTCATATTGGGCAAAACTGAAAAAAATAAAGCAAACCAAACGAATAAAATACCAACTAATACCATTACTCAAAATTATAAACTCTAAGATGCTAATAATTGATACTGGTATATTTTTAACCTAATGAGCATCAATTACAACTACAGAATATTAATCAGTCATCTTTCTCAGGTATAAAATTCTTCATAAACTATAAAACTGAATCTTTCTTTTCCCTGTTATTCAAGAAAGGAATTAATTCTTTATACCTTTATTTTATGAAACATGAGAAAATATAAAAATAAAAAGCACAAAATCTGCAAGTATTTTTCTCTGTGATTTTTGAGATAGGCTACTGCTATATAGCCTGGGTTCACAGTAGAGATTACAGGTGTACAGCACCATACCTGGATCAAGGAAATGATTCACTGGGTTCCTATTCAACTAGAAACTAATTAATTATAGAGAAGTATTGATTATACTCAATGCTTTCATGTAAACAGATACATATTTTGTGGATGCAAATAAATCTTTATGCTATTGCTAATGAGTACAGAACCATTAAACACAACTCACAGCAGAAAAGCAAGGATTTTTTGTAAAAGAAGTACCTCCTTAAGCTGCTCTTTCCGAAGTTTATATTCTCTTTTTTGAGACTCCAAAAAGCTATTCAGTTCTTTTTTCTGTTGAGCCTGAATGTGTTGCTGGAATTTTTTCTCCTCGTTGGCCATCACCTTAGCCTATATAGAAATAAAAAAAAAAAAAAATCAAGTTAGTTAATTAGATAAAATTAAAGCATAAGTTTAATATCTATCACTAAGAATACTTTAAGAAAAATAAGAAAAAAATCAAACAAACAAAAACAAAAAATACCCAGAAGTATCAAAAAAAAAAACCAAAACCAAAAAAAAAACAAACAAACAAAACAAACAAAAACCAATCTAACCAATTTACCCTCATCAGTCAAATTTGAGAGATCAATAGGATGGAATTAATTTTTTTATATGTGTTTATTGGATCAAAATGTTTTGTTTTATTTAATAAGAAAATATACCCCCCTCAATAAATAAAAAGCAAATACACATTTACCTTCAAACATAAACTAAGAATTTTGAAAATTTTTCATTATGTGTGTACATGTGTGTGTTATGTGTCTATATCTAGTTATGTGCTGCCTGCAGAGGCCAGAAGAATCAAATCTCCTTAGTGTTAGGATTACAGGTGATGTAAGTCACCTGATGTGGGTGCTGGAAATTAGGACCCCTGGAGTATATGCTCTTAACTGCTAAGTCATTTCTTGGGCCCTAAAAACTAAGCCTTTTTATCTGAGTTAATTTATATATTAAATAATGAGACTTAATCATCTTCAAATTAGATCCTTACCTGTAGCAAGTCATATGAAAATGAATATTAAATATTACCTATGTAGCACATATAATTTGAGGGGAGTATGTATTGCTTGAGTATGCACAAGTGGAGGCCAGAGGTTGATTCTGGGTGTCTTGCCTAATCACCCTCCATTTGTTCTGAAACTCTCACTGAACCAAGAACTCATCAGAGGAGCTTTAACATTTTGCTGGAAAGCCACTGTTTCCTAGAATGTACATTTTTAATCTTTATATTTCTTCTACAGTGCTGGGATAAAATCTTGAGCCTAGTACATGCTAGGGAAGGCCCTACCACCTTCACTGAACTCCAGATCTTTTTCTAAAAAATTAAGCCTTACTGTGTGACTCACTCAGGTCATTTGTAAACTTGCTATGTGTATAACTCCAACGAGCTTTCAATTTTCAATCCTGTTCCAGTCTCCCAAAAATGCAGCAGTTACAGTTATGTGCAATGACACCTGGCTTAACCAATTTTAGTTATTTACTTTTCGTTTGGTTTTTCAAGACAGGGTTTCTCTGTAACTCTGGCTGTCCTGGAACTCACTCTGTAGACCAGGCAAGCCTCGCATTACGGATATCAGCCTGTTACTGCCTCCAGTGTGCTGGGATTAAAAGTGTACACCACCACTACCTGGCTCTGAATCAATTTTTAATTTTTAATTACAATGTAAATCCTATTTAAAAAGTTGCTTTCCTACATATGTCAGTATCTAATGCTTCTCAAGCTAATAACCATCTTCTCATCACCTAACAGAACTCTGAACATCTGCATATTGTTTCATAAAATTATATCAAAATCAAGTATAAATACTTACGCTGACGTTTCCTAATATTCTTTTTTTTTTTAATTTAGTAGAGGAGAATCCAGTAAATGTAAAAAATTTTCAATGTAGGCAAGATTATATATTCCCTAAAAAAACCTGTTTATGTATATCTGTGCATGTCATACATGTGTGGGTATTCTAGAGGCCAGAAGAGGCCATTGGTTCCACTACAGCTAAAGTTAGGAGGCAGAGGCAGGAAGACCTGCATCATTTTGAGAACAGCCAGGTCTACAAAGAGAGACCAGTACAGCCAAAGCTGCTACATAGAGAAACCTTGTCTTGAACCCACCCTGAATCCCCCAAAGCAGCACAGATTCATTTATAAAACTAATAAGAAAGCATATAAGAATCTTTTTTTTTTTTTTTTAACAGAAAGCTTTATACAAGTTTACACAAAGGCTTCTCTTTCCTGGATCAATTTACTTATTTCCTAGGGCTAGATACTTTAAACACCAAAATGCTAATCTGGATAATTAAGAGATGGACACAATCTAAAAGAAATTCATAATATTAAACTGATCACCTCTTTTTCCATAGCAGCTTGGTGTTTCTTAATAAGTTTCTCCATTTCTGCAGCAAAATTGTTACGCTGAGTTTCAAGATCTTTATCTAATCTGAGCCGGTGTTCGTCCATCTCTGCCTTCAGTTTATTTTCCAAAGTCATCAGCTGCTTTTGATGCTGTCGCCTCATCCGCTTGTAACCAGACATCTGTTCTCTAAGTTCAGAGTCTTGCTCATGTTCTTGCATTTGTCTTGTAACCTAGACATATAATTGAGAAAAAAAGAAGATGAAATAATTTTCTTTCATGAGCATTTAGAAAGCTGGGCAGGGTGGGCAGGCCTGTTATCTTAGCATTTGGCTGTCTAAGAAAAGAAATTGTCAAAAGTTCAAGGGTTGGGGCTGGAGAGATGGCTCAGTGGTTAAGAGTACTGACTGCTCTTCCAAAGGTCCTGAGTTCAAATCCCAGCAACCACATGGTGGCTCACAACCATCTGTAATGAGATCTGATGCCCTCTTCTGGTGTGTCTGAAGACAGCTACAGCGTATTCATATATAATAAATAAATAAATAAATAAATCTTTAAAAAAAAAAAAAGTTCAAGGGTTGGTAGTACTACATATAATGAGTGTAAGGTCAAATAATTCTTTTATATCAAAGGACTCTGTCTCTACTAAACAAAATAATAATGATAAAGCATTTAGAATATCACTATTACTTAAGGAGGTAATTAACAGTTTAATTAATAGTTTAAAATTGAAATTTCTCACAGATATTTTAAAGAAATAGGGTGATTCTAAACTTATATGAAAATATAAAGTATCTACAAAGTATAAAAGAATACAAAATATTGAGGAAAATAAAGCAGAATGATGAGCATTATAATAACCAAGACAGTATGGTATTGGCACAAGGTTAGGCTAAGTGGATCAAGAAAGAAAACAAAGAGGCTGCCATGGTAGCACACACCTATAACAGCAGCACTCAGGAGCCAGACACGAGTTTTTGAGGCCACCCTGGTGTACAGAGTGAGTTCCAGGACAGCTAGGGCTACAAAGAGAAACTCTTGCGTTAAAAAACTGGTGGGGGGTGGGATGGGGAGGAAAGAAAAAGAAACTAACACCTATACACAAAAGAACAAGCCTAAAGCCTCAACTACTTGAAATAAATCTAAAGTGAAAGATCACTTATGCTAAGAGTGCAGGACCAGACTGAGTAAGACTGGATCATAATCTAAAAACCTAAACAAACAAACAAACAAACAAAACCAAACAAAACCAGGGGGAAAGGATCTAAATAAAACTAGAGCTGAGTCGTGGTTGTGAGCGGGCTGCCATAATGTTGTTGGCCATTGAATCCTGGTCCTCTGGATGAACAGCCTTTTACATGTTTAGCCATCTCTCCAGTTCCAAAAATGTGTTTTTAACAAAAACAATTGATTTTCAGCATAGAAAAAAAAGTTATCTTGACCCTCTCTTATCATCATTTTGCATTTAAAAAGCTACAGAAAAAGCAAGCAAGAGAACCAGAATTAAATTTCAGAACCCACGTATAAAAAACCTGGCATTGTAGTATATTCCTTTTTTGTTTGTTTGTTTGTTTTGGTTTTTTGAGACAGGGTTTCTCTGTATAGCCCTGGCTGTCCTGGAACTCACTCTGTAGACCAGGCTGGCCTTGAACTCAGAAATCCGCCTGCCTCTGCCTCACGAGTGCTGGGATTAAAGGGGTGCGCCACCACCGCCCAGCTTGTAGTATATTCCTATAATCTGAATACTAGGGAGGCAAAGGTAAGTGGATTCCTGAAGCTTGTTAGAATTTGCTTCAAAAACAAAGAAAACCAGAATGATTATTTGAGGTAAATATAAAATGAAAACACTTTCTGTATGACCCATTGTTTTAGAATTCATTAATTTTTCAAGATTTAATTGAGAGTAATTTATGGGGCTGGAGAGATGGCTTAGTAGTTAAGAGCACTGACAGTTCTTTCAGAAGTTCTGAGTTCAATTTCAGCAACCACATGGTGGCTCACAAACCATCTGTAATGGGATCTGATGCCCTCTTCTGGTGGGCCTGAAGACAGCAACAGTGTACTCATATACATAAAAGAAATAAAATCTTAAAAAAAAAAAAGTTAATTTATGTGTACAAGTGTTTTGTCTCTATCTGTGTCTGTGTACCACACGTATGCGTGCCCTGAGAGGACACAAGGGATGCTCAGTCCTCTAGAACTGAAGGTAGAGATTATCATAGGCCACCACGTGAGTACTAGGAACCAAATCTGGGTCCTCTGGAAAGGCAGCAAATGTTAACACCAGGGCCACCTTTGCAGTCACTATTCAGGCTTTTTAAAATTGGGAGGGAGTACATGCATGATAGTGCAAATGTTCAAGGAGCCTAGAGGTGTGAGCTAGAGGTGCAGTCACTTATGAGCCGCTAGACAGGGGTGCTGGAAACCACACAAACCAAGGTCAGTATACAGTTGTAACATCTCTCCAGCTTGTTCTACCTTTAAGTAGACAAATACTTCTTAGGCAGGTCAAACAAAAACAAAAAACAAAAAACAAAAACAAAAAAACTAAGATATTGACCATAAAGAAAAAATAAGTATATATGATTTTAAAATTTAAATACTTATTTTTTTTACATTTACTTAGGAAAGTACATTTAACAGCATGTTGAGGCAGAGTAGAAAACATGTGGCTTCCAAGATCAAACTCAAATTGTCAGGCTTGATGGCAAGGTCTTTTACAAACCCATGAGTATTAAGAAATCTTTTTGAGATGACAGAAATTTGACTGCTTATTTGGTGAAACGGTTAACATAGTTAAGAAGTATATAATGATAAAAATTTTAAACTGAATATATAAGATCTATGTAATTTACAATACACAAGCAGAAAGTAGACTGAGTTATCGTACAAAGTGCTTAAGAGTGTAGCTATATTCATTTGTGTAAAAATATCTATACACTTTCAGAATACACTTTCTACTTGAAATAGGGCTGGAGAGATGGCTCAGTGGTTAAGAGCACTGACTGCTCTTCCAGAGGCCCCGAGTTCAATTCCCAGCAACCGGTTACATGGTGACTCATAACCATCTGTACTGGATCTACAGGTGTTTTACCTTACAGACATCTGTATAGCATATGTATGCCTGTCACCTGTGGAAGCCAGAAAAGAGTGTTTGATCCACTGGACTTGAATTACAGATGGTTGTGAGCCATCACATGGGTGCTGGGAATTGAACATTAGTTCTTCAGAAGAGTAGTCACTGCTTTAACCGCTGAGCATTTCTCCAGCCCCCTTCACATTTTTATTAAACTTAGGAAAGAAGAAACTGACATTTAATATGTGTGAGGTCACAAAGAGATTTTCTTGGAGGTTAAAGAGATGGCTCAAAGGTTAAGAGCTCTGGCTTCCCCAAAAGACCCAAGTACAATTTCTAACACTTACATGGCAGCTCACAACTTGTGTTGCAAGCACTTTATTAACTGAATGGTGTTCCTAGACCCATAACCACTGTGTTCTTGATTGTGCAACATTAATATTTCATGGTCATATAACACTGTATAGTTGGCAAACCAGATTTTGGTGTGTAGTATTGAGGACAGAACTTAAGGGTTTGGACTATATGGTTTAAGTGTTTTACTATTGAGGAAAATTGTCAATTCTTGTTTTGTTTCAGATAAGGTCTCAACTATGTAGTTCAGACTGCCCTTGAATTCAAGATACTTCTTTAGAATTCAAGGTATATGCTATGATACTTGGCTCACGCTATATATTCTAATAACATTCATATGGTCTATTAACGTACTTTCCTTTAACTTGAGAACACTTTATCATGCCTGATTCTACAGGGTTTCACTGTATTGCATTGCTGGGCTAGAACTTTCTATGTTTACCAGGCTGGTCTTAAACTCATAAAGATCCTCTTGGCCGGGCAGTGGTGGCGCCTTTAAATCCCAGCACTTGGGAGGCAGAGGCAGGCAGATTTCTGAGCCAGGGCTACACAGCCAGGGCTACACAGAGAAACCCTGTCTCAAACCCCCCCCCCCCCAAAAAAAAAGATCCTCTTGTCTCTGTATCCCAAGTGCTGAGATTAAAGGTGTACACTATGGCTTTCAAAAATCTTTTATAACTTTATATATTTTTTAACAGTGCAGATCTTTAGAGGAAGAGTGAGAATATTAGGGCAAGCATGCTTATGACTTTGCTTAGTATCCAAAGAGACAGAAAAGGGGAAAAGAATACATACTTTTCTAGTCTGACCTCAAAGAAGTGGGCAAGTTTTACAGTGAAGATCTAAGTGTGGCCTGAACAGGGTTTTAAATGCCCAATGATATGTTTGTAATGGAAAAAAGCCAAACAAACAAAAAAACAAACCATATTCATTGCTACTTGGGAAATGGAAATGACAGAGCATACATATTAATAGAAACACTTGCCAATTCCAAACAGGTCCCTCTTTCTAGTTACCCTAACTATGTATCTTTCTCTTACTCTTAATTCTTTTGTCTTTCAACTCTCACTTTTTTCCCTTCTATATCCCCACCTCCCACCCCAGTCTCTACATAGGATTTCTCTGTGTATCCCTGGCCATCCTGGAACTCACTATGTAGAGTAGGCTAGCCTCAAACTCAAGAGATCCACCTGCCTCTGCTTCCTGAATGCTGAGATTATAAGTTTGTGCTAACACACCTGGCATGTCAGTTTTTGTCTGGCAATAACACTGGTTCTCTTCTCCTATACATAAGAACTTTAAATGCTCAAACTATGTCACAAATACTTCTTTAATACCACTAATAAAAACTAACTTGAAGCCAAGCATGGTTGTGAACTCCTTTAGTTCCAGTACTCAGTGAGCAAAGGCAGGTGGACCTCAGTGAGTTCCAGTTTAGCTTGGTCTACATAGTAACACCTTGTTCCAAAAAACAAAAATATTAAAATTTATTTGAATGCCTGTTTAGTACTTTGTAGTTCTCTTAAGGATTTTAAAATATTATGTGAATAAATACCTTGCTTTTTCTAACAGGGAACTTAAATGTTAAATGTGTTGCAAGATGAATTCCAATCACAAAAATAAGAAGGTTCAATGTATTTGAGTCCATACTACCAACATAATAAAGATACTACTTTTGGAACAGAGTAATACATACCAGTGATGCTGTTCGTATAGTTGCAAAGTGTTCTCTATTACGATAATGTGATTTGTGACGAGAGACTTGAGGTGGAGACTGTGGATCTGATGCTCTTGTTCTAGGATCTCCTTCTTCTTGGTAATTTTCCTCCTCCTTAAAAGACAGAAACAGAGAAATTATTATGTAAGGTGAACAATTTATTTGAGCATTCAAGGAAAAGACTAAAGACAATTTTAATCATCTAAAAAAAAAAATCAAAACCCACAATTCAACAAAGCAGAAATAGAAACTAGAAATACTATTGATTTTTTCAACACAAGTAGAGTTAGCTGAAATTATTTCCAGAGTACATGAAATAGTATAAATTCAACATAGAAAGTATACCAACCTACCCCACACATGTATATGCATATTTAAAAATAATAAAAACAAATCTGAAGAGCTTTAATATAACTTAAAAGCAAAATAGGACATGTAATGAATGTTTCAAATGGTAATAAAAAATTAAACACTCAAGTTTTATTAAGCAGTATAGGACAATACTATTTTGTTGTTGTTTTTGTGTTTTCTCTGCTTTGATTATAGATGTTTTCCTCTATGCTAGGCTTTATATTATGCTTATATTTCTGCCATTTATAAAAAGAATGAGAAAACTGTAGAAATGAAAGAAAATTACTGTAATTGTTGCTGGGTGTGATAGCTGTGTTCTGTGATGTCTCACCATTCAGAAAGAAGCTGAGACAGCATTGCCATGAATGTAAAGCCAACCCTGACTAGACAAAGACCATGTCTCAAAAGAAAAGAAAAAAATTAAGTGAAAATTTTATATAAACAATGATATTGTAGTTTAAACATAATCCATAACAGGTTTGTGTATCTGTTACATACAGGAGAGCATAGTAGTATATACTTTTAATCCTAGAACTTAGGAGGCAGAGGCAGGCAGATCTCTGAGTTCAAGGCCAGTCGGGTCTACATAGTACATAGTGAGTTCCAGACAAGCTAAAGCCTTGCCAAGGGGGGGTGGGGGGGAGAATCCCTTTAGCAATTTTAATTGGCAACAGCTACATTTTCAACATTATAAATCTACCACCACGTTGTATCACCTGAAACCGTAGCTATTTTTATCAATCAGCAGTATCCTTTATTCTATCATCTACTCAGATCATGGTTACTTTTGTATCAACATTTATCCCTATAGATCCTGCTATGCAAACACTTTAAAAAATGTAAATATTTTTTTAAAAAAATTATTATGTGTATGGGTGATTTGCCTTCATGAATGTCTATGTACCACTTGTATAACCAGTGTCCATGGGGGCTAGAAGAGGATATCAAATCTCTTGGAGCTAGAGTTACAGTTGTAAGCTGCTATGTGGATATGGGAATTGAACCCGAACTGGTTGGTTTTTGTTTTTATGGGGTTAGTGGGATGGTGGTAGTGAACAGGATCTTATGTGGCCTAGGAAGGCCTCAAATTCACTATGTAGCTGAGGGAACCCTTGAAATCCTGATCCTTCAAAGTGCTGAAATTCAGGTGTGCGCCACCCAAATTCCAAAGTTCTTAAAACTTCAAAGAAAAATCTCTTTAATTAATCAGTTGAGGAAAATGATGAGTCAAAGTCGAGCCTTTGGCTTTTTCCTCCCCAAGAGAAATGAAAACACTCACAGGTTTTAAGTGGATGACAGAACTGTTAGACATCACTGTATGGTCTCCCTCCATCATGTCTAGCTCACTCTTGTCATCTGATGCATCGGGAAGACTATTAACACTGCTGCTTTGGCTGCTGGCACTGATAGACATACTGGGGATAGACTGATTGCTTCCAACACTATTCACTGTTCCTGTCCGGCCAACACCATGATCTTGCTCCTAAGGAAAAAGACCAATAGATTAAAATATCAAAATCTTTTCTTAATTATAGATTAAAGTTGAAGAGAAACCTGACAAACACAAACAGGTTTCTTTAGTAAAGGATTTCTGATAGCCTTTACTGTACAATATAAAGGGGTTGGATAGAAAGCATATAATACCTTTGTTTGTAACTAGAATTTTAAAGACTCAATGATAAGAGCAAAGTAGATTGGTACCAGTGACATAAACAGTATTCTTGGCGGGGCAAGTACTGTAAGAAATCAATAAAATTAAAGAGAAAATCTGTGTCACTTTTAGGTATATACATACCTCCTCTTCTTCCTGTGCTTCTACTGCTGGTCCATTATGTGCCTCCTGAAAAAGGAGTTTCTTCATCTTTCGATATTGCAGATTGTCCAGCTCTCTTACTGCATCCTTTGTCCTTTGAATAAGATCTATTAACACTGTTTCAGGGCGCTCTCGAAGAACAAACATGTGCTAGAAGGACAGAAAATAAAAATAGGGTTTTTTTTCAACTAATCAGTTCAAATGCATTCCTTTCTCATAACCTATAGTTATGATATAGATTTATACAATCTACAGCAATCCAGTTTTATTACATCTATGACTTTTGATACTTAGAAAATAGTAGTTTCCACACTCAACTTGTGCCTAAATACTCTTGAATAAAATCCTCACCAGGATATTTTTAGTTGGCCAGTGAAAATACAATTGAAATTATCAAAGCATATAAATACTTAAAAAATCCACTACTGATTATAAGCTATGCTTGATTTAAGTAGGAAAATTTACTGATAATGAATTAAGAAGTAACTAGAACTTAGACATTATGGTTTTTCTTCCCTTGAGATGAGGTTTCACTTGACAGCCAATGCTGGTTTTGAATTTGTGATCCTCCTAGTGCTGAAATATAGATCTAAACAGTCATGCCCAGACTATTAAAATGTGTTGATAGTGTGAGTGTTCAATTGGTCAGGCTTTTATTTCTGAGACCATAGGTGAGCTTTTCCCCTGGAACTACAAAAGTTGTTTTTCTATATACTGGGATTGCAAGTAATATAATCAAATGTATGTAGTATGTATGTATGTATGTATGTATGTGCACAGATATTTGTTGTAGGTTTAATTTAGCTAATGTTAGTGAAAAAAATTAACCTGTTTGGAATTCTAAAAGAATATAAAATTACTTCATGAATCTTGTTGAAACAATTCCTAACCAGAATCAAATTCTCATTACTGCCTAGTCAATGTTCTTAATTATTATTATTATTTTTTTTTTTATTTACTGACAATGTATTTGTCCTACATGTGTTTTATACAGCATGTGCATGATGTTCCCTCTGAGGCCAGAAGAGGATGTCATATGCCCCAAGACTGAAAGTAGAAACAATTGTGGATGCTAGAAATCACACTTGGGCCCTCTGAAAGAGCAGCCAGTACTCTTGGTCACTGAGCCATTTCTTCGGCACATAATCAAGACATTTTAAAAGAGCTGGGGATGTAGTTCAGTTGGTATTGTCTAGAATTCATGAAGTCTTATTAAATCCCAGTAGAGCACATAGTACTTGGGATACAGGGGCAGGAGGATTAGTTTAGAGGTCATTCTCAACTACAAATCCAAATTTCAAGGCCAACCCGGGATACATGAGATTCCATCTCAAAAACAAACAAACAAACAAAACCTTTAAGAACTACAATAAACCAGATGTGATAGTGCACACTTTTAATCCCAACACTGGGAAGGCAGAGACAGGGTTCAAAGCCAGCATGGTTTATATATCAAGTTCCAGACAAGTCTGGGCATAGTGACACCCTATGTCAAAACAAAACATTTCATTAAATTTAGTAAAACTATTATATTCATACCAGTGCTAATTAAATGGTTAACACTAAAATGAAACACTTGACAATAGCCAGCTAAAAATAGAAATCTGTATTTTAAATTTTAGTATTGTAAATGACATGTGTGCGTGTGCGCGCACACACACACACACACAGGTCTGAAGACAACCTGTGAGAGCCAGTTGTCTCCTACCATATACGTTTCAGAGCTAGAAATCAGGTCTTAAGGCTTGGTGTAAGTGCCTTTATTCAATAAGTTATCTTGTCAATCCAAACCTATCTGATGTTTATATTTCATTGCTAAATGAGCTAGAGTTTGGATCCCAGCATCCATAACATGTTGGAATTGTCTATAAATGGAGGAAGATCAGTAGTACCTGCTAGCTTCTAACCACCACCACCAACAACCCCCCTACCCCTGCACACACACACATATCTTTAGCAATCTTTAAAACAAAATACAATACCTATGGTAAAGTTACCAGGGTTGGGGTGGGGTGGCTCAATTGGAAAAATGCCCATCTACTACATTCAAACCCCTGAGTTCAATACTCAGAACCATAGATTTTTTTTTCAAGAGATAATATAAAATTTAAATATAGAATTATATAAAATTTAAATATACTATAAAATATAAAATTTCAAGTTTTCAAGAGATAATATAAAAATCCTAGTACTTTAGCTGGGTGTGGCGATTCACATGTCTAACCTTACACTCAGGAGGCAGAGGCAGGATAATCTCTGTGAGTTCAAGGTCAGGATATTAGATTGCTTTGTGAACCCCAAGACTGTGAACTGGAAAAATCTTGTGGTGTGACTCAGTCATAGGAAACAAAATCTTTAACCCAAGAGCTTTCAGTAAACCCAAGAGCCAGCATCAAACATAAAACTTTTAAGTTGTTATAATTACAAAGCCTCTATTACATTTTTGTGTACGCATGTACACACACATGCTGAAGGTCATTTTTCGACTTCCACCATGTGAATTTCAGGGATTCGATGCATGTTGTGAGGTTTGGCAAGAAGTACACCTACTGAGCCATCTCACTATCCCCAAGCTTAGTATTTTAGTAAAAACCCTAATATAGTTAATCCTGATTGAGAAGAAAAAAAAATAACAAACCATTTTAAAATAATTTCTTAGGGGTTAAAAACAAAGTTTTACAGACTGACCTTTAAAAGTTCCTCTGATGTAGGGCGGTCTTGAGGGATTTTCTGGAGGCAAGAATCTACAAAGTTTCGAAAATAATCAGACCTATTGTAAAGAAAGTATCAAGTGAACATATTGCTATTTCCTTTAAAAAAAAAAAATTCAAAAAGGCAATGTCTACTCACAGGAGAAAGAATGGAGAAGAAATGATAGATAATATAATTTCATCTAAAGTAACATTATATTATTTCATGCAAAGTTATCTACAGCAACCAACAATTCTTTAATGTTATCCAAAACAGACTTGCATAAATCACTTTAAAAACCCGAGGCTGGGAGTAGAGTCCATTGGCGGGTGAATACTTGGTTAGAATTCAAAAAAGAAAACAAAACATCCTATTCCTACATATTTACCTATTAACAATCACCAAATATTGAATCAAGAGGAGGAAAGCCCAATCAGACTTCTCCATTCAAATATGGTTTCCCAGGCTCTTCCCCGTTTTTAAGTCTCTTCTTATTTGCACACTTTGGATTGTTTTCTGTTTTGTTTTTTGTTTTTTTTGTTTTGTTTTGTTTTTCGAGACAAGGTTTCTCTGTGTAGCCCTGGCTGTCCTGGAACTCACTCTGTAGACCAGGCTGGCCTCAAACTCAAAAATCTGCCTGCCTCTGCCTCTAAAGTGCTGGGACTAAAGGTGTGCGCCACCACTGCCCGGCCTGGATTGTTTTCTATACAGCACGTTTTAGAACAAAATTTTTATTCTCTACAGAAAAGGATTTGCAGGGGCGTGGGGGTTGGGGGTGGAAATGGTGTTCAAGACAAAGTTTCTCTGTATAGTTCTGGAACTCACTCTGTAGACCGGGGGGAACAACATTTTTAAATATCTAAGTATTTGCTGCCCCTGACCAAAGAATAAGACCTCCACTAAATTTAGAAAACTGATATACACTTGTAAAATATTAAAAGCCTGTAATGTGTCATTATAGCATTATTCATGAGAGCTCAGTGATTACAATAATTACTTGGCCAATATTTATCTCCAATATTCAAAAAGGACAACACATTTTTGTTGCTTTTTGAGAACAACAGGTTCCACGATGGCTTTGAACTTGCAGCAATCCTCCTGCCTCCCAAATGCTAAGTTTATAAAAAAGATGAGATTTGTTTTTAGTTGAGCAAGTGGTGAAAAATGAGAGTTTACCTTACATCTCAGAATAGACTTCATACATGTTGTATAATGTTGGAACTGCTAAAGACTAATGGAACTTTCAGAGATGCTAATATAATACCAATATATTTTATATTATAAAATGAAAATGCAACTTTAGGGGCAAGAAGTGTAATTCTGAGAAGGGATAGAATAGTAATAATGGTTAATCCTATCAACTGAACAGGATTTAGAAATACCCTCTCAGTGGGTCTATGATGATGCTCCCAGAAAGTATTAACTGAGGAAGTAAGATGGTGAATGGAGATAGCACCATCCCATGGGCTGGGTTCCCAGAATGAATAAATTGGACAAATCAAGTGGTGCTCAAGTATCTAACTCATTCCAACTCCTCCCTCAAGACACAATGTAACCAGCTGCCTCATTTTCCTACTATCATGCCTTCCCTATCATGAAGGACTGTACACTCAGACTGTGATAAACTCTCCTTAAGTTGCTTTTGTCAGGTAAATTGTTACAGCAATGAGAAAAGTAACTAATGCACAATTTTTTTTAACTCATAACAATTCTAGTACAAAACTGTTAATCTCTTCTCCATATACTGTTTTACATGAAGTTTTATCAAATCAAAAATTAACCAGAAGAAAAATCAGAGCAATATGACTAACACATTTAGCTAGAATGTTCCCAAGATTTTAAATAACATAATTTTGAAAGAATTAAAACATTTTACCCATGTCTTATACAATATAAATAATAACCTATTCTTAAAATAATTACAAGTTACAATAATCTATTCATTTTAGTTACAAAATATTAATGCTTAGAGATGCTATTAAATTATGAGGGTTACCTGTATTCCTAAAATTGAAAAGAAAAGTAACCTTTCTTTTATTTGTTTAAAATTAAGTCATTTTGATAATGATCTATTATTGTATCAATATTTACAAATTTTTCAAAACATGAATCATATCTTGTGGGAATACTTACCATTCATTAGACTGTAGTGTAGGGGATTCATTTTGGGCTATGTGATATAAGGCACTCATTGCATTCATATTAAATAAAGGAGGCTTCCTCTCGGCTATAAAAGAGAAAATCTTTGTTAAAATGTGAATATATAAGGATACTTAAATCTTGATCAAGTTTTTAAGAACATATTTTGAACATATTTTGAAAACAACATTAAACTTAATAGAAAATTGTAGAAAGACCTTTTTAGTTTTGTGTTTTTTTGAGATAGGGTCTCTGAATGAATAGCCCTGCTGTCCTCCTGGAGCTTGCTCTGTAGACCAGGCTGGCCTTCAAACCCCCAAAGATCCACCTACCTCTGCCTCTGCCTCTCAGATGCTGGGATTAAAAGTGTGGGATACTATGGCCAACTACAAAGAACTTTTCAGTATAAATCAAATGAGGATAAATTACTGCTTCAATGGCCCATGACACCTAAACACTTCAATACACAAGAACATTTTCTTGAAAACCACTCAATATGTATTAAATTATGCCACCTAATTATTAAATTATGCCATTTGTGTTAAAGACATCTGAGACCAAAACCCACTGTTTTGTTCCAAAGCCCTGATAGTGCTCTATGTAGGGTTGGTTTTTTTTGTTTTTTTTTGGTTTTTTTTGTTTTTTTTTGTTTTTTTTGTTCTCTTTCCAGATCTGGCTTTCCTGAACTTGTTCTGTAGACCAGGCTGGCCTGAACTCAAGAGATCCACCTGCCTCTGCCTCCTGAGTGTTGAGATTAAAGGCATGCACCACCACCACCATTGCCCAGCTACTATATGTAGCTTTAATCATCTGTGTCTTTGGTTTACTGAGTTCTCAAATTAAGACGAAAAAAACTGTTCATATTTCAGGGAGGGTGCAGGTGGTTATGCATTCCTTTGCATATGGATTGGTATCTTCCTGTATTGCTTTCAACCTTCTTGTCCTAACAGAAGGTCTTTTAATGAACTAGAAACGGGACTGTCTGTGGCTAGCAGGTTCTAGGTATTTGTCTGTTTCTCACGTTCAGTGCTGGGATGATAGGCATGTGCTGCTATTCCTAGATCTTGGCATGTGGGTGCCAGAGATTTGTACTCAGATCGATCGTGTTTACAAAGCAAGTGCTGTTATCCTCAGAGGCATCTTCCCAGGCACTCTATTATCTTTTATTTTTATTGCTACTTTTAAATTATGTGTTTGTGTCTGTATACAAATGGGATATGTATACAGATGAGTATTCTACAGAAATCAAAAGATGTTGGATCACCAAAAGTAGTATGAGCTCTTAACTGCTATTGGTATCTTTTTTTTTTTTTTTTTTTTTTTTTGGTTTTTTGAGACAGGGTTTCTCTTTATAGCCTGGGCTGTCCTGGAACTCACTCTGTAGACCAGGCTGGCCTTGAACTCAGAGATCCGCCTGTCTCTGCCTCCCAAGTGCTGGGATTAAAGGCATGCGCCACCACTGCCCGGCTGCTATTGGTATCTTACTTTTAATAATCAATACTAATTGTTACTTCTCATTCCTAGTTCCTCCCTTTGATTTTATTTTTTAGACAAGGTCTCACTCCCCAGCCCAGGCTATCCTGGAACTCATCATGGGTGGCCAGCCTGGCTCTAAACAATAGTAATCCACCTACCTTCAGCTTCCTAAACTTTGGGATTATAAATGTAAGCTATCACACCTGGCTTCTTTCACTCCTAATATTAAGAGATTTGTATCTTCTTTTTCTAACCTAAATGAAAAGAGATTTATCAATTTTAATGATCTTCATAAAGAATTAAACTTTATGCCGGGCAGTGGTGGTGCATGCCTTTAATCCCAGCACTTGGGAGGCAGAGGCAGGCGGAATTCTGAGTTTGAGGTCAGCCTGGTCTACAGAGTGAGTTCCAGGACAGCCAGGGCTACAAGAGAGACCCTGTCTCGAAAAACCAAAAAAAAAAAAAAAAAAAAAAAAAAAAAAAAAAAAAAAAAAAAAAAGAATTAGACTTTATATTTTTCAATTTTCTGCTCAACAGAGTTTCTACTTTAATTTTTATTATGTTTGAGTTTAGATTATTCCTGTTTCTACTTTCTAAAAGGTGAAAGATGGGGGAGACAACTCACTGATGACCTGAGTTCAATCCCCCAAACCCACATAAGTAGAGAAAAGACTCTCCCAGAGCTATCCTTTGACAGAACAAATATATGCAGACAACCATTGATACCAGACAGTGTCAGATCTCTGGTGCTGGAATTTACAGGTAGTTCTAAGACACATGATGTGAGGAGGCTAAGAACTGAGGTCTGGTTCTCTATAAAAGCACCAAGGGCTCTTAAGAGGTAAACTATCTCTCTGGCCCAATTTTACATATTCACAATGGACAGAATTAAAGATCACATGTATAAACGTAAGAGATATACAAAACACCATTATATTTCTTTCTACATTATTATTGAAAATAGGTGTGTGTGGTAATGAATGGCTTTAATCCCAGCACCCAGGAGGCAGAGTCAGGCAGCCTGGTCTACATAGTAAGTAAACTCCAGGATAATCAGGACTACATAGACACAGTCTCCAAAAACAAACAAACCACAATGAAAAAAAAAAATCAGTATTTCATCTCAAATTCCAATCCCCAACCACAGTATTTGTTATTCTGAACTTTAGCAATGATCAATCTTATTCTTGTTACCTCCTTCCCTTTCTCTTCTCTTCTCTCCATCTTAGTCTCTCACTCTGCAGGGCAGGTTTACCTAGAAATCATGGCACTCTTCTCAGCTTAACCTCCCTAGGTATAAACCACCATACCAAGCCTTTAATGCTGATTCGATAAACTGCTATTAAATGTACCATGTTATCATTTTTGCTGCCATGCTCTGCCAATCCTTCATTCCATTCCAAACACAGTGAGAATGACTTCTTTTCCTTGTCTGACACCTCAACCAAACTAGTTCTCTTCTCTCTACAGTGAGGAACATCTCATTAAGAAAAATTCTCATCATTTTTATTAGGCTCTATCATTATACTAGGTTAACCCAAAATATGGACTGCCTATATGGGTGCTAACTCCCTTCCCTACCTCCCTTGATCCCTGATAAATCTAAGACATCTCCAGAAATGAAGGCTTTAGTAATTCTACCGGACCTTTTTAATCTCCTTACTGGTTTCTTTGTCCATTTCTGACTTCACACACTATGTTACAGGAACTCTCTACTACATACAGTTGAGTCTGACATTCACACTAGGTTAGTATGGCTGGTTCACTGGATGGTAGGTATCCATATTCTAGCTCACAAAGTACCGTAAGACTAGTAAAAGGAAAGAAGTTAAGGATCATTGAAGATATTTAGAATGAATGAAAGAGTAACATCCATTTACGTTATTATTGAGGTCTTCAATTTGGCAGATTCAACTGACCCCTCCTATTATCTTCCCTTCTGGGTTTTGTACTACAGGATAGGTTCAAACTTGCTATGAAGCTAAGGATAACTTTGAACTTGTGATCATCCTGTCTCAAGTCTTAGTTTTATATGGTTCTGGGGAATCAAACCCAGAGCATCATTCTAGGCAGACAGTCTATCTACAGAGCTGTATATCCAGTACTTCAACTAATATTTCTACTAAAATACAAACAACACCTTATTTTCCTTTGGCTAGGCATGGTGATGCATAGCTTTAATCCCAGTACTTAGGAGGCAGATGCACTTAGGACCTCTTTGAGTTTAGGCAAGCTGTACATAGTGAGATCCAAGATTTTTTTTTTAATTATTTTTTTAACTTGATATATTCCTATGTAATCCAGAATGATTTACACATCACTACATAAGCCAAATCAAAACACCCCTAAATTTTCCACCCAAATGCTGGTGCCAATATGTGTCATCAGGACTTGTCTTGATCTCAAAAACTATTTGTTTGTTTGTCTGTTTGTTTGTTTGTTTAGAAGACTCTCAATGTAACTCAGTTTAGGTTCTAAATCACCATGCAGCTGAATATGACCCTGAACTCCTGATTCTCTTGAATAATGACATTATAGACATTTGCCATCCCTGGTTTCTGGTTATCAAACCCAAAGCTTCATGAATTCTAGACAAGCACTCAACCAACCAAACTACATCCCCCTCATCTCAAATTCTTTTTTTGAGTTGCTACTTAAATTTCATCTAAACAAAGAACTTATTTACCAATCTGTAGTACTGGGTAGCCTGGAACTTATTCCCAGTATGTAGACCAAGCTGGTCTCAAACTCACAGAAATCTGTTCCCAGTGCTGGGATTAATAAAAGCATGGTGGCAAGCACCTGGCCTTTTTTTTTTTTTTTTTAAATTTCAGAGGTCTTACTTCTTACTATCTTGTATACATGCCATGCCTTCCCAACTCCAAATTGAACTGCGTATCTATCACTATGGTTTTACTTGAATAAAGTCTGGCTTATTGTGCTTTAAAAAGAAAGAAATCAAACTGTTAAAATTATGCCTAACAACATTTCTCACCTCTCAGGTACACCAGAAATAAAACAAAGGGATATATGCATGCTAGACATGCACCTGACCAGCTATATCTCTAGTCTTTTGAGTTCTATTTTGGTTTAGTTTTTAGAGACATGGTTTCTTTCTCTACATAGCTCTTGACGTCCTAGAACTCACTTTGTTGACCAGGCTGGCCTCAAATTCAAAGATCCACCTGCCCCTGCCTGCTAAGTGCTGGGATTAAAGGTATGTGAGGTTTTGTTTTGGTTTGGTTTTTGTTGTTGTTGCAGGTGTTACTAAATTTCCTAGGCTACTTTGAATTCGGTATCTTGTCAAGCAGACCTTCAATGTGCAATTCTCCTGCCTCAGCCTCTACAGTAACAGAAGTTAAGTCTTATCCAACCAGGGCAAAAATGGACATCTAATTTCTAATCTTAAAATTAACTTATATAGTAGCAAATAATTCGTGATTAAGAAACCTATGGATAGCCGGGCGGTGGTGGCGCACGCCTTTAATCCCAGCACTTGGGAGGCAGAGGCAGGTGGATTTCTGAGTTCGAGGCCAGCCTGGTCTACAGAGTGAGTTCCAGGACAGCCAGGGCTCCACAGAGAAACCCTGTCTCGAAAAACCAAAAAAAAAAAAAAAAAGAAACCTATGGATAATAAATATGGATTAGATGTATTCTAAGTGTTAAACATTAATTAACATCAGCCATTGAAATTTAAGACCACAGCGAAAAATTATTTTAGGCCTAATTTATTAGCAGCAAATATATTTAACCTAATACATACCACATTAATATAGAAATTAGTAGACAATCAAAGTAAAAGCTTTAAACAATTTACTTTTCCCCTTAAATCGGTAGCTGAAAAGATGGCTCAGTGGATAAGAGAACTGGTTGCTCTTTGTCTGCAACTACAGCTCCAGGGAATCCAAGACCCTCTCTTCCAGCCTCCCTAGACATCAGACATACACATGGTACTCAGACATCCATGCAGACAAAAAAATACCCATACACATATAATAAATAAATTCTAAAAAATTGAGATCTAAGCTAAAAATCCAATTTAACTTCTTAATTGAAATGAAACACTGAATCAAAACTTAATTCACCTAGGTATGGTGACTTCTTTTTTTTTCTTTTTTTTTTTTTTTTTTTTTTGTGTGTTTTTCAAGACAGTGTTTCTCTGTGTAGTCCTGGCTGTCCTGGAACTCACTCTGTAGACCAGGCTAGCCTCAAATTCAGAAATCCGCCTGCCTCTGCCTCCCAAGTGCTGGGACTAAAGGCGTGTGCCACCACCGCCCGGCTGACATACTTTTTTTAATCTTAGCTTTCAGAAGGCAGCGGCAGGTGAAGCTCTATGAATTTGAGGCCAGCCTGGCCTACAGAGCACGTTGTAGGCCGGCCAAGGCTACACAGTAAGATCCCGTTTCAAATAAAAGAGTTAATCTCTAGTAATAAAAACCAATGCTTACCTAATTCAATACATGTTATTCCAAGAGACCATACATCAACTTTGCCATCATACTGTCCTTCATCCATGGCTAAAATTACTTCTGGGGCCATCCTAAAACATACAATAAATATTCAATCAACTTAAAGTTTGAGAATTTAAGTTCCATCAACATAAATAACATTGATTTGAACCCCAGGCAATATTTATAAACATAAAAAATTTTACAATAAGAAACAAATTAGAGGTTAGGTATGCATTTCTCAGTGCTCAGAAAACACAAGACCCATTCTCACCATCTGTCATAATCATGTAACAGCATTCCAAATGACCCATCCCAGAGCAGGGTTATGACAAAATTCTAATATTTCCTTTAAATACTGAATTTTACCATAGGCAACAAACAGTGCCAGGCTTTTTTTTTTTTTAAAACCTAAAATGTAAAGGAAGGTACAAGGCCTATCCAAAAAATTGAATCCTGACCCTTTAATGTTTCTTTTAGAAACTAGAAAGTCACAAAATTTTTTTCTAGTATGCGTTTGAGACTTTACATCCCAGAGTAACGTTATCACTTAAAAATTTTTTCCTTTATAAGATATGAGAGATTTCAAACACAAATAAGAAAAACGATGCAGTGGACCAAAGGTGCTATTTTCAGAATATACAAAGATGGTACATGGCAGTTTAACTATCTAAAATATTATTTCCTACAAATTATCATTTCAAGTTACATATAAAATTAGTCCTAGACCAGAGCAGACAAAAGCTAGAATTTCAATAAAAAGTAACAGGGGTAGAAAGAAATGAGAGTATGGAGGACAGAACTAACCCCTTGGTAAGATTACTGGGTAACTGGAAAAAAGACCTCATCATACTTCTATTTTTATATACATCTGAAATTCTGCAAGTAGAAAATTGAAAACAGCAAAACTCTTCCAATTCAACTATTACTCTATATAATGACTGATGCAAAGTAAATATGCTTTCATAACACAAAAGCAAGACGATCAGGGATGCCTGTCATTTCAAATCAATAAGGAGTTTATAGCCAGTCAGAGCAACATGAGAAACTGTCTCCAGAAAGGAGATACTGCTGCAGCAGATATGACAAAGCAGTAGTAAGCACTTGCGGCTCTTCTAGAGGACCTCAGTTTGGTGCCTAACACCCACATCAGAAGGCTCATCTCTATAATCACCTGCAACTCTAGCTCCAAGAGATTTGATGCCCTCTTCTGGGTCTACAAGGTCACCCGAATACATGTGGCTTACATTCAAAAAGACACAAACTTCAAAATTTATTTTAAAAGAAAATTTGTTACTGTTTATATGGCATATCTATTTCTTATATTTGAATATTACCAACGTTTCACTCTCGTACCTAATACCCAATACACAGAAATAATAGGAAAGTACATTTGGAAAAGATAAAAAAAAGAATGAAAAAGGAAAAGACAAAAAAGCAGTTCCAAGGGCAAACCTACAAATCTGTATTTAAAATTAAGTATAAAACATGTGGTTAAGAGCAATGGCTGCTCTTCCAGAGGACCTGAGTTCAATTCCCAGCAATCACATGGTGGCTCACAACCATCTATAATGGGATCCGATGTCCTCTTCTGGTATGTCTGAAGACAGTGACAGCGTATTCAAATATATAGAAATAAATAAATCTTTAAAAAAAAAAAAACCAAAGTGAAAGATACCTGAAATGATAGTATATGTTCAAGAAAATAACACCTTAGAAAGTATAATCATTGTCAATACCAGATAAGACTATTCTTACCAATATGGTGTCCCCACAAAAGAATTGGCAGGGGATGCCATGGAAGCAGATCCAAAGTCAGCAAGTTTCACTTGGCCTGGTTCTGTCAGAAGGATATTTCCTGCTTTGATATCTCTGGTTTAAGGGACACAGAAAATTATTCAACTTTCCTTCATTAGATTGTGTTTAAAAATGATAAAAAATAAAAATATTATAAGATAATAAAAATAATCAAGTACCACAATCATTTCACATTGTGATAAAATTAGACAACAAAAACAGAATTCAAGTATAAATATACTAACAACAGAAGAGTTAACAAAGCAACAACAGTCAACTGTATTATACTGCATATCTTTGAACTTATTTATGACTATGGACAATGGCTTTGAATTCGTAAGATTTCTATGTTTCCTCTAAAGGAAATGATAAAACATTTTTCTTTAGAAAAGGAAAAATAGTAAAGAATCTTATCTTCCAAACTCTGTTTATAACAAAAGAATGACTCAACCTATTTCTCAAATTTTCAGTTTCCGATTAAACACAAAAACTAAAACACATGGATAATATACTATCAATGGCACCAAGTTCACATTCAGATTTACTTTTCTGAAACAGCAAACACACTTACCCAGACTAAGCTAAGCTATATGGACATTTACACAATGGGACTATATGTTCCATGGGTGCTAGAATACCTATTTAACTTTTTATATATAAATAAATTCATTTATTTATTTATTTTGAATGTATGAGTGCTCTGTCTGCATATAAACCCACACATCAGAGCAGAGCATCAGATCCCGTGACAGATGGTTGTGAGTCACCATGTGGTTGCTGAGAATTGAACTCAGGACCTCTGGAAGAGCAACCAGTGTTCTCAACCAGCAAGCCATCTCATCATCCCCCTACTTCACTTTATAAAACTTAAAAGAGAAAAAGCATTTACAAGTCTTACGGATTCTTATACATGTAATACTGGAATACAATACACTTTCATTTGTGTTTTTTCTTTACAAATGGGAAAGTACTTTCTCCATGCAATTGTTTGTCTGTTTGTGTGGTGCTAGAGATTCCTGGGCTTTATACATAGGTGATACTTGATAAGAAAACACATTCTAATTCCAATTAGGACACTGCCTAACTTGCTATTATAGGAACTTCTCTTGGATTTCACTTACCCTCATCTAAAAATAATGACAATCCATTAACTCAAAATGACTGCCTAGTTTAATGTTTACTGTCTGAATCACATACACCATTTTTTAAATGCTAGTATCTATGTGAAACAGACAAAACTAAAACTGGATTACAGAACGGCTTAACTCTAATGGTAATATAATTTTATCAAGGATGATTAGGGGTTTCTGTTCAGAATTAATAAGGTTTTGGTCCATGTCATGGAATCAATGAAACACATCTGCCATTATCAGTTATTAGGAAGAAAAAGATCCATTAAATTCAAGCTCTAATCTATTTGGCTTTGCAATCTTAAAGAAATTATAGTCACAAATTAGAGCATCAACTGTACAAGAAGAAAGACAGATTTATGATCCCTTCTCGTTTGCCAATTAGGTGATTCTACAGTTAAGATCCATAAAATACATGCACTTTAGGAAATATAGCAACACACACAGACAAAACTAACAATTATTCTAAACAGATCAAGTGTATACTGTGTTCTTTCTAATATGTGAATGATCTAAATAGTGTAAGATTATATAAATCTACTTGGCTAAACTGAACAAAAATATCAAAGACATTCAACTCTGTAAAAGTGATAAATTCAACAATCCATTTGGTTGTCACTTACCTATGGATCATGGTATGAGAATGTAAATAAGCTAATCCCTGGAGAGCACCATGTGTAATTGCTGCTATTTCCACTTCTTGTAATGGCTTTTTATGAACTGAAAGTAGAAATTTATTAGAAAATGATCACACAGAGTATTTTTGTTTTAAAAATATGTAAAGATAGGTTAGTGGATAAATTGCAAGCTTCAGGATAAGAGTTGAATGCCCTGAACCTACATAATGAAAGAAGAGAACCAATTCCTTGAGGTTATCCTCTGGCTTCCACACATGCACCGTGGTGTACATGCACATATATGCACACAAGCACATATTCATACAAAATAAGTAAAATACAAAAATAATTCTTTTTAAAAATAAGTACGAATATAAAAATTGACACATTGTTGTTTATGAGTATAGGATGTGTGCATGTATGTATGTGCAGTGTATGTGTGATCAAAGAACAACACTGATCCTAACCTCCTACATTGTTTGAGGCAGAGTCGTTTTGGTATTTGTTGTTCTATATATGCCAGGCTAGCTAGTCCACAAGCCTCCTGTCTCTACTTCTATTCCCCTGTGGAACACTGGAATTACTGAAGCATACTACCATGTCTAACTTGTTCTGAGGGTTTGAACTCAGGCCCTAATGTTTAGCAGCAATTGCTTACTCACTAACCTATCTCCCCAACCCATACAAGAGTTAATTTTTAAGAACCAGATATTCAGCAACAAACAATTTCCATGGTGATAAAACAAGATCACTAAACTTTATAACTAGTATACATTTATGACAAGTGTTAACATGTACTCATCATCCAAATGTTCCTTTAAACTTAACAATATTGGACAATTAACTTGACTGTAAAAAGTAACAAGATAGTTTCCTTTTATTTTTAATTTTTACTAACAGAACAAATCAAACTGAGCGACAAAGAATTCAGAAAAATGTATATGAAGTTTCAATGAGAGAAAATGTCGCCAGGCGGTGGTGGCGCACGCCTTTAATCCCAGCACTTGGGAGGCAGAGGCAGGCGGATTTCTGAGTTCGAGGCCAGCCTGGTCTACAGAGTGAGTTCCAGGACAGCCAGGGCTACACAGAGAAACCCTGTCTCGAAAAACAAAACAAAAACAAACAAAAAAAAAAAAAAAAAGAGAGAGAGAATGTCTATTTTTTTAAGCATACAAAATTTTATGTGAAGAAAACGGAAAAGGCTAGGGATCTTATACTTTCAGCAAAATTTTATATTTAGTTAGTATTAATAGTTTAAATAAGCTAACTGAGTTATTATTTTTTTCTAATACTTTAATAAACAATAACTAGAGCCAGAGGTGGTCGCACATACTTTTAATCACATCAGAGAGAATACAGAAGTAGGTGCTCTGTGTGTTCAAAGCTAGTCAGGTTTATATAGTAAGTTTCAGGGCATCCAACTTACATAGAAAGACCAGGACTCAAAATTTATTTTTATCTGTCTGTCTGTCTGTCTGTCTGTCTAACTTTTAGGTTTTTTGAGACAGGGCTTGTCTGTGTAGCTCTAGAACCCGGTCTCAAATTTTATTTTTATTTATTTATTTATTTACTTATTTTTGGCTTTTTTGAGGCAGGTTTCTATGTAGCCCTGGCTGTCCTAGAACTCACTCTATAGAACAGGTTGCTCCCAAACTCAACAGATCAGCCTCTACAGCCTGGTTTCAAAGTAAAAAATATTAACAATATTTTTACAATATTGTTAATAATATATTATGATATTGTTATAATGTTATATGTTGCAATGTTAAATATTGTTAATTTATTTTATAATAATGATAATAAGGGTAGCTTACCTTCTAGTAAATCTGAAGCAGACCCTAAACAATATTCCATTACAAGCTGCACAAGGAAGAAGAATAAATACATTAAAATCTATTCTAAACACTTATCTCTTAGAGAAACATATGAAGTCAAGAAGATAGTCTCAGTTTAAAGGAAAACAAACTTTAGCTATCATCTACTTTTTACAGAAGGTTGTATATTGAGTAATTTGTTAAAACTTATGCATAAAATTAAGCGAAAGATGCATGACACATGCCAATAATCCCGGTACTTGGGATGCCAAGGCAGAAAATCTAAGGCCAGCATGGACTATATGGAATGAATTCCAGGACAGCCTAGGTAGGCTACATAGCAAGATCATGTCTGAAAACTATCAAAAAAAATTTAAGCCAATGATATTTGTCTTTTAATATGTTAACATGAAACCAATTATATAAGCTGTGTATTGTATATATACTTTTCTATATAAATACACTTATAATTATATAATTATACCTATAATTAATCTATTTCTTATAATACAAGTCACTATTCTCTTCTTTTCAGCCAAGGAATCCTGTTGTCTCAAATTTCACCAGGATGTATCAAAACTTCACCAGGATCTTTGTACTTAAATATACTAACACACATTTATGTCAAAAAGATATGTTCGCTTCCATTCTCAAATAACGGTACTACTCTTAAGATGTTCACTTCATATTCCTGAAGGTATGAATGTACTCTGGAGAAAAGTCTTGAAAGGTTCTTTTATCTGTTAAGAGTTGTACGCATACTGTTCTTTTTCTTCCAGGATGAACTCTGCCAGGTGTATGTGCATGTCTTCATATAACTAGTCTGAGACATTGTGAGTTAAATTATGCTAAACCAGAAACAACTTATTTACACCAAAAAGAGAATAAATACCAACCCATGCTGTGTGTTCACGTAAATAGCAGCCTTTGTATTCTATACTGTTGGGATGTTTTATTCTTTGAAGAAACTTGACTTCCTTAATAATATCCTGCCATTTCTATGTGGAAGGAGAAAAAAAGGAACAGGAGAATTATGAACAGCTGATAACGAAACTAATTACTTTAAAAAAAAATCAAAACATACAACTTTATGATCGATATATGAAATGCCAAAATAAGGTTTAAATGAATTTTATACTCAGCTTGCTACTTAATTATATATAAGATACAAAATATTTAAGGAGAAATTTCGGTTTAATAATAGACATAATCAATGGGTCTCAGTTTTATAACCAAAGGCTCCCTGAAATTAAAAGCACTTGTTGCTCTTCCAGAAAACCTGAGTTTAGATCTTAGTACACACATGGCAGCTCATAACTGTCTGTAACTGCAGTTTCAGGAGATCCACCCTTTTCTAGCCTCCAAAGGCACCAGGCACACACAAGGTACACATACATACAGGCAGGCAAACACTCTTATACATAAAATAAAAACAAATCTTAAATCATATCAAGCACATTGATAATTATATAACACATGGGTATTCTTTCCCTCAAAAGTCCAATGTTTCTATTTTTCTTTAAATATGATTATTTTTAAATTATTTAAAATTTAATTAATTTCTTGAACATTTCATAAAATGTACTTTGATCATATTCATCCCAACATCCCAAACATCTTCCACATTCACCCTACCTCCCTATCTATCCAATTTTGTGTCCCTTCTCTTTCTTGCTTTAAAACCCATCCATCTGGGGAGTGGTGGCACATGCCTTTAATCTCAGTACTATAAAGGCAAGATCACATGGAACTCTGAGTTCAAAGCCAAAGGCCAGCCTAGTCTACAGAGCAAATTCCAGGACACCCAGGGCTACATAGAAAAATTTTGTCTCTAAAACAAACAACAACATAAAGACAACAAAACAAAAAACCCTCATGTAGTCCAACTTGTGTGGCCCAAATATTTTTGGGTGTGGGACTTGCCCTACTGAGAGGGGAACTACCACGAACCATATCCTTAAAGAAAACTGACAGTCCTTTCTCTAGCAGCAATCAATAGTTTCCTGTTCTCTTTTGGCCTCCGTGGGCATCGGGCAAATATATGTGGCACAGAAATACATGCAGTAAAATACCCATACACATAAAATACAGAGCTGATGGAATAATTATATATAAAAGGTCACAGAAAAAAAGAAATAGAGTAACATTTTCTGACATACTCTGCTAAGAGTAAGATCCCTCCCTCACAGGTATCATGAAATACAGATTGAGTTCACATGCTTAACAAAACTCTTTTGCGTGTATGTGTATGTACATGCCCATGTGTAAATGCAGGCACATGCCATGGTGCATGTGTTAGTAGACTCTTTTGGAAGACAGGGCCTTTTCTTTATTGTTCTTTGCTGTATGTGGCAGAATGCTAAGGTTTTTGTCTCCACCCCTCATCTCATCACAGCACAGAGATTACAGACTGGTACTTAACTTTTATGTGGGAAATCAAATTCAGATCCTCACTCTTAGGTGGAAAGTACTTCATGCACTGAGAAATCTTTCCAGTCCCTAAACATAATTGCTCATTTTTAATCTTTTTTTTAAGCTTTACCACTGATGGGCTTTATTTTATAATTAAGGGCAGATAAGTATAACAGAAATTAAGATTTATTTTATATTAGGTTTAAAACATCTTTCTTTGATATTACTTAAGTTCTTAATCAAACATTTCAAAATATGTTGTCTTTTACTAAGGTGTATAATATATATCTAAAATGGCAAGATTCAGAAAATCTTATGAGCTTTAAACTTCAAATTTGAATACTCTATGGGGCAGTCTTAAGAAAATTTGGATTTCCTTGTGTAAAGAAAAATCATGATAGACAGTAACACTAGATCCTAAAGATGATATAATAATGAAATACTAGTTCAATATATAACTGATCAATAGACTTCAACAATTATGAAGTGAGCCAATCTATTAGGTCTAAATTACTTTAATACAATAGTAAATAAAATTACATTTCAAAGAAATGTCACTTTTTAGATATCAAAATGATGAAATGATATAACAGTATTACCATAACCTTGGTCTAATAACCACCAAACCAAGATTTACCACAAAACAGATTAAAAATAGGAAACAAATTCAGGAAGTCCAATTCTGGGCATATAACCAAAAGAAATTAAAGCAGACTGTAAGAAATATTTGTGCATTCATATTCATTTTGCAGCATTATTGACAATAGCCAAAAGATTAAAAGAACCCAAGTCCATCTGTAGGAGGTGTGAATTGAAATGTAAGTTGTGAGAATGTAGAGATAGATGTAACCTATATAAACACAAGAAAGTAGTTCTCAGTCTCTTAAAAGGGAAGAAAATTTGGACATGTTATATACTATGTATGAACACTGAGAATATTGTGTGATATAAAATACTCTAGTAACAAAGAACAAATACTGAGTGGGTCTGCTTCCAGTATATACAATCTACAGTTCTACAGGCTTCATGGAGCAACACATAGCTGAAGATACAGTCTAATACAAAACTTAAAATTTACTTAAAAAATTATTTTTTTGCACTTTTTAAAATCTGTTGCACAGTTCTCCAGCATGAACTTGTAGATGACAACAATGTGTGACAGTGTCAAAGGCTAGATATGCTTGAAAGTGCATCCAATAGACCACTTAATGAGAAACAGTACAATTGTGAATGTTATGGCTGGGTGTTTGAAAAAAGAATTACTGTTGTTTTGGTGATACTGGGGACTGAGCCCACAGCATTATCATGTGCATGGACATCAACTACTCTACCACTAAAGCCAAATCACCATTCCATACTATAAGTATGCTTCCACTGTCCCAAGGTGAAGGTAAAGGTTATACAACATTCAAGTACTTAACACTACCGAGCCATCTACTTAAAGATGGTTTAAGATAGCAAATTTTACAACAACTAAAAATTTGTTTAAAATTAAAGACTCTCAGAATCCTTGATTTCAAAAGTAGATTTTATTTTATGACTTCATAGTCACACAGACCAAACATAATCTAGAAATAAGATACTGGCAACTAAAGCATCTAGCTTTCCTTTTGATTTTTAAAATTATTTTAAATGTATTATCTTTGGATAAAATTTAAAACAAACATAAAACACTTTCTAAATTATTATAAAAGGTTATGTCCTATTAATTTACTATCACATACATCCTAATTTACTTTTAGAAACCAAAATAAACTTAATAATTTATTAAACCACAACTTAAAACACTAGAAGCAGAAGACCCAAGTTAGGAGGCTTTTGGTAAGCCACTTATCTTTGGTTTATGGCTCTAAGGAGTAACTAAAGGGACCTCACTCATTTATAAAATAGATTCACTGACGTGATTATGGGTACAAATCAGAAAATTTAAGTCAGGGGAAGAAGTTGAGAAACTGGAAGGAGAAACAGTAGGTAGAAAGGTACAAATGGACCAGAAGGGTAAAAACCAACCAGAGCAAGATGAGGAGAAGGAGAGGAACCAATCACAATTATGTATACATGAAAAGAAACCTGGAATTTAGTATGGTAATTCAAAAGATTTTTAAAAATGAATGAATGAATGAATAAAAGGGGGAAATCCATTGGTACAGTTATGGTTTTTATGCTTTTACACATAATATATTTATTTAAAGTTCCTATTTTTCTCCCTTATTAAAAATAGTATCTTTTGCCAGAAAATGGTTATGCATGCCTTTAATCCTAGCACTTGGGAGGCAGAGGTAGATGGATCTCTATGAGTTCGAGGCCATCCTGGTCTACAAAGCAAGTCCCAGGATAGCCAGAGCTACACACAAAGAAGCCCTGTCTCAAAAAAAAAAACAACAACATACAAACACATTAACTAATCAGCATGTTTTCCTAAAACGCTAAAAACATGTACATATTTAACCTACCTCAGTAGACTGTTTTCCACTATAAGACATTTTCTTGATGGCCACCACTTCATTAGTACGCACATCTCGTGCCTTAAAAGGAAAAACAAAGAGAGAACCATTATGAAACAGAAACCAACAGACTGAATCTGAGACATTATTTCTTTAAAAATAAAGGTACTTATAACTAGTTCAAAAAACATCAAAATTACCTTTAGTGGCAATAGAAATTAAATAGGAGTCTAAAGGATCTAATAACTCAGAATTATAGTTAGTGAAAAATTGCATTACAAACTTTTGTTAAGTAGCTGTCAGCTGCTCTTCTCATATATAAAAGTCACTCTGTAAGATAACAAACAGGGCTGGGGGCTAGAGAGATGGCTTAATGGTTAAGAGTGCTGGGGCTGGAGTTCAGTTCCTAGCACCCACAACATTAAGTGGCACACAACCACTTGTAACTTCAGTTCTATGAATCTAATGCAATCTGACCTCTGCAGACATATTCACATAAAGCTATATCTCTCATGCGATCTCTGAGCAACCCCACACACACACATTTAGCAAACATTTTTTAAAAAAAATAAACATCTTTACTTTGAAAAACAAAATAAAAACAAAAAAAGGTCTAGCTAGGTGGCACAGTAGTAAAGAGTGCTGACTGCTCTTGCAGAGGAGCCAAATTCAATTTCCAGCACCCATAATGGCAGCTAACAATCACCTGTAACTCCAGTTCTGTGAGATCCATACTTTTTCTGGCCTCCACAGGTACCAAGCACATATATGGTGTACATAAATGCATGTAACACACCCTTACTCAGAAAATAAAAATGAGTAAAACAAAATAAGGTAGACTGCTCCTAAAGTAGTTCTCTGGTCTTTACATATATAAGATGCACCTGAACACACACATAAAGGAAACAGGTGGGAGGGGGAGAGGCAGGTGGGGGTTATCTTTTGGTGTAGAAAAGGGAAGAAAGCCAAGTGGTGGTGGCACAGGCCTTTAATCCCAATACTTAGGCAGAGGCAGGTAAATCTGAGTTCAGCGGTCACCTGTTCTACACAAGTTCCAGGACAGCCAAGGGCTGCACAGAAAAACTCTGCCTTAGGGGGCAAAAAAGAAAGAAAAGGTGTCTCATAAGAATATAACACTACGGGCTGGAGAGATGGCTCAGTGGTTAAGAGCACTGACTGCTCTTCCAGAGGTCCTGAGTTCAAGTCCCAGCAACCACATGGTGGCTCACAACCATCCGTAATGAGATTGGATGCCCTCTTCTGGTGTGTCTGAAGACAGTGACAGTATATTCATAAATAAAATAAATAAATAAATCTAAAAAAAAAAAAAAAAGAATATAACACTACAACTAAAACCTACTAAAGTTACACACCAACTTAATTTATAAATATAAGCAGGAATATTCTAAAATCATACTAAATTTTATAGCACATGGGGATGTAGATATGGCTCAGTGGATAAGTCATTTGTCACCAAGCATGGTAACCTAGATTTAGTCCTTGATCCCCACATTGTGGAAAGAGAAAACAGACTTCTATAAATTGTCCTCTGACTTCCAAGAACCTTCCTCAACAAAGTAAATAAATGTAAAAAAGTATTTCTTACCCTGAATTATATATATCATGAATGGATAAAATGTAAACTCAGAACTTGATACTGGGGAAACATTTCATAATTTTGTCTTAGTTGTTTTGAGACCAGGTTTCTCTATGTAGCCTTAGCTGTAGTAGTTTGCTATGTAGCTAGCTATTTAGACATGATTAGCCTCAAACTTGGAGATCTACCTGCCTCTGATTTCTGAGTGCTGGGATCAAAGGCATATACCACCACATATAAACTTTAGGCTGAAAGTTTAGGATAGATTACTTCCAAATCGTCCCTACTGTAAGGAAAGCCAACACTTACAAAACTAAAATTAGAAAGGTAAGTCTTCAATAGAACAAATCATATCTATAAAGCTTGGGGTATGTTTTTATTGCTTTATTTTCATTTTTTAACAGTCTTTAAAAATATATACACCAGGCTAGCCTTAAATTCACAAATATATCCTATACTGAACTCATATTTGAAATGTTCCTACCTCAGTTTCCTGAATACTGATACGGAGGTGTTTATAACCATGGCTGGCTTATCCCTATACCACTTTTACCTGTCATTCTCTTATTTTACCTTCTCTAAGCAACAATACACCTGTTCTATGCCTGGAGATTTGTCTATCTAGACATTTCTTTTAAAAGGAACTATATATGGACTTTTGTGGTTATACTTAATAAAACATTTAAAAGTTCATGACTAATGATGTTGAACATCTTTTAAATCACATATTTCTAACATTCATGTTCTAAACTATGAATCTTTATTATTATTGAGTTTTAAGAGTTCTTTACATATTCTAGACAGACGTCTACTTAAAATACAAAGCCATATACCTGAGATCAGGGCTAGAGAGATTGTTCAGTAGTTAAAAACATTTGTTGCTCTTCTAGAGGTCTTGAGTTTGGTTCCCAGTACTCACACTGGATATTGCACAATCACTTATTAACTCTGCGTCAGAAAGTTCAATGCCCTCTTCTGGTCTCTGCAATACCTTCACATGTATGGCATACGCACACAAAATTTTTAAAAATTAAAAGCAAGTTTTGAGATGGGGCCTCATCATACAGCCCAGGCTGGCCTGGAACTCTCTATGTAGATCAAGCTTACCCAGATTCAGAGATCCACTAGCCTCTGACTCCTGAGATTAAAAGTGTCTGCCCCATATACAACTTCAACAACAATAACAAAAACAGGTAGGAACTGGTTTGAAACCATCCTAATTCATACAGTAAGATCCAGGAAAGTCAGCGCTACAAAGAAAGATTCTGTCCAAACAACAAAACATGTTCAATATCAATGGTTATTAGAAAACTGAAATTAAAACCACTTTACAGTGGTGAGGATAGATATAATCAAACTATCAAAATAAAAGGCATTAGCACAAAGATAAAGAAATTAAATGTATTTACTGACAGTGGGAATGGAAACAGTAGCTGTTGTGCTTGCAGTTAGATTATTCCTCAAAATGTTAAATATAGAATTGTCATGGGTATTTGTAATTCCACTCTTAGGGTAGGTATGGACTGGTTAAGTACTGTGAACTAAAGCAAAGGCTCTGAACCCTGCTTGGCTTTTCTAATCTATGGTGACTCTGTATTCCTCCTCTCTTTCTCACCTGAACTGTTCTAAAGATGTGAAAATGTGGGTCTAGAGAGATGGCTCAGCAGTTAAAAGCACTGACTGCTCTTCCAAAGGACCTGAGTTCAATTCCCAGCAACCACATGGTGGCGCACAACCATCTGTAATGAGATCTGATGCCTCTTTTAGTATGTCTGAAGACAGCTTCAGTGTACTCATATAAATAAAATGAATAAATGTTGGAGAAAAACAAAAAAACAACCCACATCACAGGGCTTGCAACCAAGTAGAACTACAGTTTCAGAGGATCTGATGACCTTTTCTGTCTTGCATGGACATTTGGATGCACACTGTACACAAGAACACATAAAGGCACAAATGCATGCATGCATACACTTTAAAAAACAATGAGGCCCGGCAGTGATGGTGCACGCCTTTAATCCCAGCACTTGAGAGGCAGAGGCAGGCGGATTTCTGAGTTCAAGAGTTCGAGGCCAGCCTGGTCTACAGAGTGAGTTCCAGGACAGCCAGGGCTACACAGAGAAACCCTGTCTCGAAAAACCAAAAATAAATAAATAAATAAATAAATAAATAAATATTCTCAATTGTATTAAGAAAAATTATGGTAGCCATGAAATGTAGTATATGCTTTTAATCCCAGCACTCAGGAAGCAGAAGCAAGTGATCTCTGAGTATGAAGTCAGCCTGGACTACACAGTAAGTTCCAGGACAGCCATATATATCTATATAAAGAGACCTTGTCTCAAAAATAACAGCAACAACAAGAAGCTATGTTGTTATTGCTAAAAACCTATGGTAAGCACAAGATTTCTATTCGTAAAATTATAAAAGAAAATGAAACATATGCTAGTTTTGTTGCCACACCTCAAAAAACAGAAATTGTGGCCACAGAACATGGGAAGTATTTTAGGTAAGACATTAAATTATAAGGTTTAGTACTAGCTTCAGTTTCAAGTATAATAAGTGAAAGTCTAGAATGGATGTAGATGAAAACAATATATAGGGAAGTTTTAAACTGTGTCTTTTCTTTCAGACAGTTCAATAGTTTTAGTCTATAAAACGAATTGGTAATAGAGAAAAGGGAGAGGGGACAAAACATACAAATTATTAGTGTGTACAAACACAGGAGTCATAGACAAAGAAGGAAAACTCAAAAGAATGGCCATATGGCTGACCTTAAAATAGCATTCTGTATTACAGAATGAGGGTCCTGCAGCTTTTTGAGGGTGATTTGAGCAAGCAGGCTATGGAAGGGTAAGGAGACAAAAGGTAAGGCAGCAAAGCAAGAATGTCCTATTACACTATTCCTTTTCCAAGGAAGACTGCATTTCAGAGTCATTCCAGAGTCTGCAGAATAATGTTGTAGATTGCCCTGGTGCTGTTTGTATTTTAATACTAATTCTGCTTTCTCAAGAGGGGCTGCCTCAGCCGGGCGGTGGTGGCGCACCCAGCACTTGGGAGGCAGAGGCAGGTGGATTTCTGAGTTCGAGAGTTCGAGGCTAGCCTGGTCTACAGAGTGAGTTCCAGGACAGCCAGGGCTACACAGAGAAACCCTGTCTCGAAAAACAAAAAAAAAAAAAAAAAAAAAAAGAGGGGCTGCCTTGGAAGAGGAGTTGATCACAGGTGACTTTATATGAACCTGCTCCCCACCTTTACTAGCCAAATAAAGGATAGAGCCTGTGACTGGGCAGTGTAAGGAAAAGGTGGGGATGAAAGTTTCGGAGAGGGAGAGAGAGGAAGGGAGAGAGATGAGGAGATGGAGGAGAGAGAAGAGGACTAAAAAGGAAGAAGAGGTGGAAGGAAGATGGAGCAGTAGCATGTGACCTGGAAGAACTGCAAGTAGCAAGGGATTTCCCAGCTGGGGAACAGAGTCGTGTACCAGTATGTCTGCCCAATCTAGGCGTATCATTTACCATTATAACTGAGTTGTGTGTTCTTTGCATGGTCTTATTGGGGTTGGAGATTTACCACAACAGAATAACTAACACAAATCTTGCCAAAAGATATATTCAGGGTGGTATATTTTTTATTTCCCTAAACTCTTATCTTGGTAAAATATTTGGAATTTTGTACTTCATGGCAAAAAAAACTCCAGAACAGGTACACGGATGGAATGATAAAAGAGCTTATTATATTTACAGTGAACCTCTTTCAACCACACCTGAGGTGTTTTGAGCAAAGTACCTAGTTAATCACAGGATAGTAGGGAAGGATGGTTCTCAGGGAAACTAATCCTGTCCCAGAGAATTGGAACTAGCATTACGCACCCAACTCTCACCTTAAAAGAAAGGAAAGTAGCCAATAACTTAAAATGACCTTATGTAATAATAAATATCAACCTCAAAGGACTAGGAATCTATAAGGAAGATGAGAACACACTAAGTGGCCAAGAAACTGACATATCTTAACTCTACGTAGACAAGGTAGGAGAAGCTCCTGTTCCAAACAGGAGTCTAGGCCTCAGTCTATGGATCTTTTGACTATATTATTTAAAATAAAATCATTAATGTGTCTCACTTACTGCTTTAAAAACAATTACACCCATGGAAAGGGTTGGAGGATCTCAATTCCATGGTTAATGGAAGTACAACCTGGAGCTTTCAATTGGCATCTCAAAGTGGAAGGCATTTTTACAGGATTGGGCCTATTAGAGAACATCCAACTGATCTCAGCTGCAAAAAGTCATTGCTTCCACAATGCATGGTTGACATACATTGTGTAAAAAGTAGTGTAAGGGCAGGTTTGTTTTCCAACTCAGTAAATTTCTCATCTCTTTACCAGTTTTTACTCCAACATCACTGATAGCAAGCCTTTTAACTCACAAAATATACTGCTCCAAAGCTCCCATGGCCGATTTCTCTGAGATCTGTGAAGAGCTTTTCCGGATCTTCTTTGAAGAAGAGCTCTGCAATTTCAGGGTCCTTTAGACTGCCTGCTCTGTTAGTTGATGGCATCCTGCTGAGCAGTCAGCTGTCTGATTCTAATTTTATACTGCTATCCCAATGCTTGGTTCATCTGTATGAATGAAGCCACGCTGGCATAAACTAGGAAAATAAGAGAGAAAGAAAAAAAAAGAAAATTTAAGAGTTGGTAAGAATAATTAAAAGGTCCACCTGCAGCCATTATCTACAAAATTCTATCAGGTCTAGAATGTTAAAAAACCGTCTTTATTGCATTAGCTCATCACAATCACCTGTGGCACTTTAAAAGCAATGCTTTCTACACCACCATTCATTTAAAAGTTAGCTGCATCTTTTAAACTCGGGAGGCTTTCTACTGCTTAAATTACCCAATTGTGACAAAGCAAGCAGAAGAGACAATAGACTATTAAAAAAAATTCATAATAACCCATCAGATGTGATATAGTACACACCTTTAATCCCAACACTTAGGAAGCAGTGGCAGACAAATCTCTTGTGCCTTCCAGGTCAGCCATGGCTACCTACTGAGACATATTCTTCTTCTTTCTTTTTTTTTTTTAAATAATTTATTTTTATTTTGTATGTATTGGTGTTTTGCCTACATAGATGCATGTGTGAAGATGTTAGATCCCCTGGAACTGGAGTTACAGTTGCAAAGCTGGCCTATGGGTGCTGGTAACTGAACCCAGGTCCTCTGGGAGAACAGCCAGCGTTCTTAACCACTGAGCCATCTCTCCAGTACCCCTGAGGTATATTCTTAATAAACAAAACAAAGTGCTGGAGAGATTGCTCAACAGTTAAGTACATGTACTGTTCTTCTAGAGGACCTGCATTGATTCCTAGCACCCCGACTGGGCAACTTACAACTGCCTTAATTTTATCTTTGGAGACCTGATATCCTCTTCTAGTTTTCACATGAACACAGTTGCATATACATACCCACCACCCCACACATATAAACACATAATTTAAAAAGTAGCAAAATAAAATTTAACACTCCCTACATATACACATACAATCACAATAGCCCACAATGTATTTGGAAGGTGTCTTTTTACAACAGGAATTTCTTTTATTATTGATCTTCATGTGTAAGAAAATACACACACAAAAAAAAGCTTCTAAGATGTTACACAAGGTAGGAGAAGCAATTCCCAAAAGTTGTCCTCTGACCTTCACATGTGTCACAGCAAGTACATGCTTACACTGATTTGTGTATCTATCTCTTACCTTTCCTTCACACACACACAAATTAAAATAAAAAAAGAACATGCAGAAGAAAGTCTAAATTTAACACAAACAACTGTTTTCTTATAAACTTTATTGTTTTGTTTTGTTTTGTTTTTTGAGACAGGGTTTCTCTGTAGAGCCCTGGCTGTTCTGGAACTATAACTCTGTAGACCAGGCTGGCCTCGAACTCAGAAATCCGCCTGCCTCTGCCTCCCAAGTGCCTCCTTATTATAAACTTAATTCACTTGATTAACACATTAAAATATGGCTGTTACCATCTGAATCCTTCCATATGTAGACTTAGAAAGAACCAGTAAATTATTTGTAGGTTCTGCTACCAATTCCCTTATATCAGTTTATCTAATGCTTAAAAAAATGAAGTTCACAACTGAGAAGCATATAATTATAAATCCCAACACTATTTATAATCTGTGAGTTCATACGTAAACTGTATCCTTTTTCTTAATAACTACTTTACATACAGTACTTACAAGTGTTAAATGAGTTGCCATGCATAAGCTCAGATTTCTACTCTACCATAGTAAGTAAGCACTATAACAAGTCAGCTATTTTCTTTTAAATCATTTAATTTCAGGAATAAAAAATAACTTTTTAGAATGTTTTTCATTAAACTTCTAAGGAGGAAAAGTGACATCCAATTCTTCCTATGCCCTTTATATGACTTCTAAGCTGATCTCATTTTAGTGAAATAAGAGAACCAATTTTTTTTTTTTTTTTTTTTTTTTTTTTTCCGAGACAGGGTTTCTCTGTGTAGCCCTGGCTATCCTGGAACTCACCCTGTAGACCAGGCTGGTCTCGAACTCAGAAATCTGTCTGTCTCTGCCTCACCAATTAAAATTTTTAATTTTTAAATTTTTTCTGTATGTACATTTTGTCTGGTGTATGTATGTGCACCAAATGCATGCCTGATGTCCAATGAGGTCAAAAGAAAACTTTGATCCCCGAGAACTGGAATTGTGGATGGTTTTGAGACATCATACTGGAAATCAAACTGGAATCCTCTGGAAAAGCAATGAATACTCTAAAACACTGAGCCATCTCTCCAGCCCCAAACAAACCAACTTTAATTCTTGCCAGAAAAAATTTTTGCCAAGTATATAAACACACCTTTTGTATCTCACTGTCTCTTTGTATCTTTGTCTCTATCTCTTTGTATCTTTTTTCCTACTTTTTTTTTTTTTAAAGGCATGATCTTGCTATACGACCCAGGCATCGCAAACTCATGGCGATCCTCCTAACTCAGTCTTCTCAGTAGTGGAATTATAGACAAATATCATTGTATCCAATTCTAGTTTTAATATACACCCAAAGCTAGATGTAGAACATATGTCTAAAATTTCAGCACTCAGATGAAGACAGGAAGATAACAAATTCAAGTCTACCCCCAGTTACACAGCAAGCTTGAGGCCACTAACACCAAACCACACATATAATCTTTATTTTTTTAAGACAGGGTCTAACTGTATAGCCCAAGGTGGTCTAAAACTTGCTATGTAGAGCAGATTGGCCTCAATCTCATAGAGATAGGTCTCCACCTATCTCCCAAACACTGAGATTACAATCTTCTTCTAAAGAGACTAGATGAAGCTGAAGAGATGGTTTAGTGATCAAGGGTACATACTACTCTAGCAGAGGACCTTAGTTCATTTCTAACATCCACATCAGGTGGCTCATAAACACTGTTGCGCCGGTTCCTCTTCTGGCCTTAATGGGCTCCTGCACACATGAGGTCACATATGCTCACACAAGCATATATGTAAAAAAATAAAAAATTTTAAAACTATAACTTCCCTTAAGACCTCAATATGAGTTTTTATAATTAAGTAACATCTGCATTTCCCTAAGACACTCAGGTAATTAACAAGATAAAGAAACAGAATCACGAGATAATCAGAACACATTCATGTCACAGCATTTCATCCTTTAAGAATTAAGAATCTCTCTCTCTCTTTTTTTTTTTTAAATAAAAGGACATTATTGGCCCCAAGCAACTGATTTACTATTATAAGGCCCTCTCAGTAAAAAGATTCAGGCCTGAACACCAAGCCTGGAAAAAATTGGATTCTTTTAAACACAAAATTGGCAGAGACTGCCTACCTAACTCCATCTTTTCCTCAACATATGGAAGTACAAAGAAGCATGCATGTTACTGTAACAATAACTGCAATATTAAACACAACCAAGAAAGGTCATCAACAGGATGAACAAATATATAACTTACATTTAACCTATAAAGTAACTGATGTAACAACTTTCAACATCATAAACATTATTATTAAAATTTTAGAGATCGAATATCTTTTCTCAAAAAAATCACAAGACCAATTAATGTTGAGAAATAAACTACAGATACTCTAAGCCACCTGCCTGATATTCCATATAGAAATGAAGGACAAAGATGAAAACAAAGATACAAAGTATCACTGGGTTCAGAAATAGTGTTGCTTGTCTGAAATACCAACACTTATGCAAAAAAATTATATGCCGGAGGCCAACTTACAGCAAACCACTGTTAAAACACATACACACAATCACTTATGTTCTTGGCAACAAGGGAAAGTATAGTAGTATTTTTAAAACATTAATTTGGTGTACAGATAAAAAATATTATCTTGTTAAAAAGCAAGGTACAGAAATAAAATAATAATCATTATCTAAAAATAAAACCAAATCTCCATACATAGATGATCTATGGAAGGAAGCAACAGAATTTGTATTCAAGGGGGCTGGAGAGATGGCTCAGTGGTTAAGAGCACTGACTGCTCTTCCAGAGGTCCTGAGTTCAAATCCCAGCAACCACATGGTGGCTCACAACCATCTGTAATGAGATTCGATGCCCTCTTCTGGTGTGTCTGGAGACAGCTACAGTGTAGTCATAAATAAAATAAATAAATCTTTAAAAAAAAATGTGTATTCAAGGGATCCTTTCTATCTTTAATATTTATTCTATAAATGTATGTACTACTTCTATTTTTAAATTTTTATTTATTATTAGTGTATATGAAATATGTGTGTGAGGGCAGGCAGGCAGGCAGTGCTACAGACCTAGTACAGAAGTCAGAGGACAACTTTCAAGGGTCAGGTTGCATGGTAGACATTTTTAGCCACTGTGCCATCGTACCACTTTTTTATCTTAAAGAACAATTTAGTCAGCAGGTGGTGGTCAGACACCTTTAACTCCAGCACCTGGGAGGCAGGAGCAGGAAGATCTCTGTTGAGTTTGAGACTAGCTGGTTTACAGAGCTTGTTCCAGGACAACACTGCCAAAGCTATATAGGGAAACTCTGTCTCAAAACAAAACAAACAAAACAAAAAAGTGGAAAGAGAAAACCAAGTCCATAAAGTTGTCTTCTGACTTACACACTCGTACTTATGCCCTCCCTCACTAAATAAAATTTGAAATGTCAATTTAAATCTTGTTATATATTTAATACAAGTATAAAATAATCTATTCTGTGGTGGCATACACCTGAAATTCTAGCCCTGGGTAGCTGAAGAGAGTAGATGAAGAGTTCCAAGCGACCCTGGGCTATACCATGAGACCCTGCTTCAAAAGAAACAGGAAAAGAGGGAGGAAAGAGAAAAAGAGAAGAGAGAGGAAAGGGGAGAATTGAAGAAAGAGAAAAATGGGAAAAGGACAGAGAGCAGGAGAGGAAGAATGGATAAAGAGAAGAAGGAAGAAAGAGAAAGAAAGGGAGATAGGAAAGATGAAAAGGAGCCACAGTGCACTAAGAGCTTCAGCACACTCTTGGGCACTATTCTGTTCAGTGTCTTCCTTCCTTCCTCCCTTCCTCTCCTCCTCTTCTTCCTCCTTCCTCTTCTACCTCCTCCTCCCTCTCTCCATCCTTTCATTTTCACCAATATTCCTGCTT